GCTTGTCAATGGGTTTAAGAGTCTATGTTCAGGTGGTCCCTGTGGTTTCTACCCCTGTACCCTGGGGTGTTAGGAGGGGGGAGGGAGATGCAGCGGCTCTTTTCCCCCTATGGAGCTCGTTCTATACCTGACTCTTATGTCGGGTGTCTAGGGCAGTTGAGGCTCTGACGCCTCTCCTGTGTGGGTGTGAGGGTGGAGTGTGCCTGCAGTTATTTTACTTTGCAAGACATTAACAAAGAAAAAAGTTAAACTTGGAAAGCATATAAAACAAACAATTGCAAGAAAGAAAACATAATGTACAAGGCTATTAGTGTTCCCTCAGGTACTGGGGCCCATATTCCTTCTGGGGTCTGGTGAGGCTGCGCCTGTGGCTGCCCTTGCTGGGGAGTGGGATGTTCCCTGTGCTGGGGATTTAACTAGTGGGTAGGCCCAGCGCTGTTAGCAGTGCAGGTGAATCCGATGGGGTTGTGGCTTTATATGACTGTCCGTCCTTGGTGACCCACAGGGTGTTTGGCGTTGCCCATTGGTAGGTTAGGTTTTCTGCTTGCAGTGTCCTTGTGAGAGGTTGCATGCTTTTGCACCATTGCAAGGTGGCCCTGCTTAAGTCCTGAAAAAAGGATATGTGGCTGTCTTCAAAGCTGTATGGGGATTTCCCTTTCAGTGCTGCTGTTAGTCCTAGCTTGTCGGCTACTGTTTGGCATCTTAGGATGATGTCTCTTGGTGCCATGGTTGGGGCTTTAGGGGATTTGGTTATTCTATGTACCCCATCAAATGTGAAGTATTTAGCTTGTTTCGCCGGTAGAAGGGATGCCACTAGCCATCTCACGAAGTGCGGCAGTTCCTCCAGGGGGATGGTTTCTGGGACCCCCCGTATCTTTATGTTTTTCCTCCGGCCTCTGTCATCTAGGGTGCTCACTTGCCTGTTGGTGTTGTTTTGGGCTGTTTGCAGGATGACTACATCTGCTTCTGTGGCCTGGGTGCGTGCTGCGACGGCCTGTACCTCTGTGGTTAGTGTTGCTAGGTCTGCTTCCCACATTCTCTTGAGGTTGAGTTGTAGGCCTGTAAGCATTTCTTGTATGTCTAGTTTTGTTGCAGGAGTCATCAGTCCTGGTGCACCGGCAGCCTCTTGGTTGATCAGGTAAGGTCTCTGGGGTGTATTTCTGACTTCAGCCTGCAGGGGTGTTGCGTCTCTCATGGGTGAGGACTCCTGTGAGTCTCGTGTTGGCGCCGGCGTCAGAGTTATCAGCATCTGGCCTATGTTGCGCTGCGTTCTCGCGGCAGTCGCGGCGGCTTTTGTGATTTTCTCCCTAAGTCTCCGACCGGCTGGTAGATTGGCAGCAGATCTGTCAGACCTAGTTCTCCCCACAGCGTTTGCTCACCTCCGGTTAATAATGGTTACACATATGCTTTAAAGTGTAACTGCACAGTATTGCACTGTTGGAATGGGCTTTGTGAGTACCTGTTCTATGAGTGATTGCATTTGCATTCAGAACCTTTTACATTTTGGGCATTGCCACCGACAATGTACACCCTGTTCCAAATTATTATGCAAATTCTATTTAAGTGTCACAAAGATTAAATATTTTCTTTTTCAGTTTAACTCATGGATGGCATTGTGTCTCAGAGCTCTTTTGATCACTGAAAACAATCTCGGACACCTATGATAATTAGATTGCCAGGTGAGCCCAATTTAAGGAAACACTACTAAAGGAGGGTGTTCCAGATTATTAAGCAGAGCACCATTTTTCATGCAATATGGGGAAGAAAAAGGAGCTCTCTGCTGCTGAAAAGAGTGAAATAGTTCAATGCCTTGGACGAGGTATGAAAACATTAGATATTTCATGATGACCTCTGCAAAGTATGTGGAGTTTCTGACTGACCACTTTCTTCCCTACAGAAGGAAGAACTATGCTTTCCGTAACAAAATCATCTTCATGCATGGCAATGTACCATCTCATGCTGCAAAGAATACCTCTGCATCAATAGCTGCTATGGGGATAAAAGGAGAGAAATTCATGGTGTGGCCTCCATCCTCCCCTGATCTCAATCCTATTGAGAATCTTTGGAGCATCCTCAAGCAAAAGATCTATGAGGGTGGGAGGCAGTTTACATCCCAACAGCAGCTCTGGGAGGCTATTCTGACATCTTGCAAACAAATTCAAGCAGAAACTGTCCAAAAGCTTACAAGTTCAATGGATGCAAGACTTGTGAAGCTGCTATCAAATAAGTGGTCCTATGTTAAAATGTAACGTGACCTGTTAAAATGTTTAAAAAGTTATAATGTTGTTATAAGTTTGATTGAAATAGCTTTTGATTTCAGTAAAAATGCTGCAAACACAACAAATTACTATTTTCAGTTCTTTACAAACTATAAAGTGTTTTGAAACTTACTGTGAGTAATAATTTGGAACAGTGCATTGTAAGTTTTTTATGTTTAAAAAAAATACTGTTATCATTAGGAGGTTTGTTCAACAAAATTTGAATTGTACTCTTAATAGTTGATAACATGAGAATTATGCTGAATGTTATTTACATCAATTATTTAGGTAAATTAGAAAAATATCATTTGCATAATAATTTGGAACAGGGTGTAGTCTGTCCATTTTTTTTTTTTTTTTTTTTTAAAGAAGGGAATAAATACCGAAATTGTCAAGATTCCAGGACTTAAATGACTCCCATATATGTTGATAACACTTGGACGTAGATTTCTTCCTAGACAGAAGAAGCGTATTCGTTACTGCCTCAGACAATCCTGTTTGCAGGAGCCGTTCCCTTTCAAAAGCCAAGCCCCCAATCTCAGATGTACGGAGTTGGGGTGGTAGACAGGAGCCTGGCTTAGCAGATCCTTCCTGATTGGAAGCCGCCAGTGTTCCTCCAAGGACATTTTGCACAGGAGAGGGAACCAGGGCCTCCTTGGCCAGAACAGGATGATAGCTATTATCACTTGATTCTCCATCCAAAATTTCTTTTAGTAAGTGATGAATTATCGGTAAGGGAGGAAACACATATCCCAGATCGAAATCCCATAGAAACATAGAAACATAGAATGTGACGGCAGATAAGAACCATTCGGTCCATCTAGTCTGCCCAATTTTCTAAATACTTTAATTAGTCCCTAGTCTTATCTTATAGTTAGGATAGCCTTATGCCTATCCCACGCATGCTTAAACTCCTTTACTGTGTTAACCTCTACCACTTCAGCTGGAAGGCTATTCCATGCATCCACTACCCTCTCAGTAAATTAATACTTCCTGATATTATTTTTAAACCTTTGTCCCTCAAATTTAAGACTATGTCCTCTTGTTGTGGTAGTTTTTCTTCTTTTAAATATAGTCTCCTCCTTTACTGTGTTGATTCCCTTTATGTATTTAAATGTTTCTATCATATCCCCCCTGTCTCGTCTTTCCTCCAAGCTATACATGTTAAGATCCTTTAACCTTTCCTGGTAAGTTTTATCCCGCAATCCATGAACCAGTTTAGTAGCCCTTCTCTGAACCCTCTCTAAAGTATCAATATCCTTCTGAAGATACGGTCTCCAGTACTGTGTACAATACTCCAAGTGAGGTCTCACCGGTGTTCTGTACAATGGCATGAGCACTTCCCTCTTTCTACTGCTAATACCTCTCCCTATACAACCAAGCATTCTGCTAGCATTTCCTGCTGCTCTATTACATTGTCTGCCTACCTTTAAGTCATCAGAAATAATCACCCCTAAATCCCTTTCCTCATATGTTGAGGTTAGGACTCTATCAAATATTCTGTACTCTGCCCTTGGGTTTTTACGTCCAAGATGCATTATCTTGCACTTATCCACATTAAATGTCAGTTGCCACAATTCTGACCATTTTTCTAGTTTACCTAAATCATTTGTCATTTGGCAAGGCAAGACATCCTGACCCATTGCCCGATGGTCTGGAAGAAGAGAGAAGTACTTCGGTATCTGATTGTTCCTGTTCGTAGCCATTAAGTCGATCTGTGGTATGCCCCACCGAAGAGTAATTGCTTGGAATACATCTGTATGTAGCTTCCATTCTCCTGGCAGAATACTTGATCTGCTCAGGTAATCTGCCAAAATATTTTGAGGACCTGGTAGATATACTGCCTTTAATCTCTGAAGATGATTCTGTGCCAGAGACATAAGAGGAGTTAGTTCCCTCAACAGAAGTTTGCTCCGAGTACCACCTTGGTGGTTCACATATGATGCCACTGCCCTGTTGTCTGTCTGAATCATAATCCAAGCATCTTGTATTAAGGGAAGGAACCCTTGAAGGGCTTTGAGAATAGCTCTCAACTCTTAAGTTTGAATGCATTTTTCTCTCCTTGTTGACCACCTTCCCTGTTTCCAAAGAGACCCCAGATGAGCTCCCCATCCTTGTAAGCTTGCGTCCGTAGTAACTATTAACCAGTTCGGTTCCTCCAACGGAAACCCCTGACTCAGATTCTTCTTGTTCTTCCACCACTTCAGCTGATTCTTTGCATACTTCATAAGAACAATTTTTTGATCCCAGTTCGGATTGTGCTTTTTGAACTGCTGTAGAAACCCCATCTGGATAGGTCGAATTTCCCAATGGGCCCATCTTACCAGCCCTATCGTGGATGTCAGGGACCCCAAGAGGCTCATTGTAACGGAGTCTTACCTGATAGGGAGTCCAGCTCGCAGAGTTATACGCTCACCCTTGCAAAGTAGACACAGACCAGGGTGACCAGGTAAGACGCCACCTGGCCTGTGAGTCTGTGCACGGGGGCTTTCCAGGAAAAGTGCTCCAAGTCTCAGTACAGCAGGGATAAGCAGAAGCGTGGTCAAGGGAAGCCAAAATCAGGGAAGCCAGAGGTCAGAGTAGTCCAGGAGGAAAGCCAAGGTCAGAAGCCGGAATTAGACAGGAATCACTGGAACGCAGGTACGGAGTAACAGGAACCAAACAAGGGAACCAGAGTCAATGAACTGACCCCCCTCCCAGGGTGAGGCAGGCTTTTATATCCTGTTAATTAGGTATCAGATTCAGCTGGAGAGTTACTGACAGATCAGAGCCTTTGGTGAAGTCCAGCCCCCTGGTGCTGCAGGCAATACAAGAATAAACAGGAGTTATCCAAAGTCCTGAAATGGCTCAGAGGGAAAATAGCAGGATACGGTCCAGAAGAACCACAGTTCAAATCCCCTATCGGGTGCTTCCGGAGCGACCACGTCTGGCAGACTGGATGTCACGGCGTGAACCGTGACACTCATATAGCTTCTGGCAGAAAGGGACTGTTAGTCTTGAATATCCATAATCTTCTCGCAAATCTTTGTCATTCTTTCTGGCGAAAGAGAGAGTGTTGCTACAGCAGTATCTATTTTTGCCCCCAGGAAAATAATCTTTTGGGATGGTATCAGAGAGATCTTCCCCAAGTTCAGCATCCATCCGTGAGCCTGTAGACAGTGAATAGCAGTTGAGTGTGGAGTAACACTTCCTGGGCAGAGGAACCCACGATATGAATATCGTCGAGGTAATGGAATATCTCTATTCTCTGCAACCTCAGAAAGGATATCAGTGTAATGAGAACCTTCGAGAACGTCCTTGGAGCTAGACTGAGTCCAAAGGGAAGTCCCCTGAATTGGTAATGCTTCCCCCATATGTAAAAACGCAGAAACTTTACATGCGATGGGTGAATGGGAATCTGATAATATGCGTCCTTGAGGTCTATGGACGTCATCCAACTTCCCTCCTTTATGTTGCCGACAATACTGAAAATGGACCCCATCCTGAATGACTTGGTCTGTAGATAGGAGTTTAAGACCTTTAGGTCCAGAATCAGTCTCCATTTGCCTAAAGGCTTTGGAGCCAGAAACACGGTTGAATAGTGGCCTTTGAACTTTTCTGCCTTCAGGACCTCCACAATAACCTCTTGTAGGGTTAGTTCCTTGATACAAGCCATCATAGCTACTTCCTTTATCCCTCTTGCCACGCAAGATTGCTTGAAGGTAGGTGGTGGGATACTTTAAAATTCTATGAGGTATCCTTCTTTTATAATTGACAGTACCCATGAATCGGAGACGTTTTTGATCCTGATGGGGAAAACTTTAGGAGACGACCTCCTATCCCTGGCTGGACCTGAGCACCTTCAGAATCCCTTATTAGCAGGTCTGGAACCTCTACCTCTGGAGAACTTTGAAGAAGAGGAAGATGGCTGATTTGTTCTCCAATTTGAGTATCTCGTGTACTCTCTGCCTGGACGATTTGTCCTGGAGTCACGAAAGGAACAATCCTTAAATTTTTTATTCTTCCACATACTGGACAAGGGACGCCTTTTGTCCTGAGGAAGAAAGGCTCTTCTACCATCAGCTGCCTTATGGATGGCCTCCTCCAGAACTTTGCCGAAAAGTAGATCGCCTTGAAAGGGAAGAGCACATAAAGATGCTTTTGATGCATAGTCCGCACCCCAAGCATGTAGCCGCAACGCCCTTCTGGATGCCACCATCTTGGTAATATCGAGAGAGGCCTCTGAGCAAAATTCTGATGCCAAGTGGAAATCTTTCAGACTTTCAATCAGATGCTCCCTGCGTTGATGTCACGTCGGAATGTGACGTGGCATTGCATGCCATGCCTCCATGCACCTTCAGGTACTACACTGTCCAGTAGCAGCCAATGCAACACTGACCCCCACACACACACACTCATTTACAGACACACACTGACAGAGACACACACTTACACATTCTTGCACACACATACTTTATTGTTCCCTACCTTTTGGAGCTGATGTGGGGCATCTCCCTGGGGTCCTATCTGCTCCCTTGCGCGGTTTGGTGATGCTGGGTGCCAGAATAGGACATCATATTCCAGTGACCCGCTTCACTACAGACCGCGCACGCAGGGGAGCAGGAACACTGAGCTCCCTCACTGGCCATCCTCCACGGCCGGGTAAGTTTTAGCAGAGTAGGCACCTGCAATGTGGAGAAAGCAGGTGCCTACTCTGCTATAACACCAGCATGTACTCACGGCTCGCCGGGCTGCAAAGATGTCCCTTGTGGGCTGCAAGTTTGACATGCTTGTTCTACAGTTATACATTGACTAGCAATTATGGAAATGTAATGCGTACACCTTTTTCTGAATATCACAATGTATTCATTCTTCCTCTGATTATTTTAGCTGGACCTAATTTTCTTTGAGATAGCTGACTGATCTAAACATATTTACACAATTTTATACTGATATAGCTAACTCTAACATTATTATAATTGGCATGTATATAGCCCCAACAGATTCCCTAGTGCTCTACAATAGTATGAGAGGGGGGATTTAACTATAAATAGGACAATTAAAAAAAACTTACAGCAACGATAAGTTGAAGAAGACCCTGCTCAAACGAGCTTACATGGAAACATTACCACCCCCCCCAAATAACTCTCCTCAATGGAAAAATGCGATGCATTTGTCACCATTTTGTTCTAAGGCACTTATTTATAGCAGGTCAAATCAATATACTGTTCATAGGGGTTGAGAGTTATATATAAAGAGCAATCCCAAGGCAAGGTGCTAAATGTGATACAATCAACAATTTGCACAATATATAACCCTTTCAGTCTGATATGTGGCTGTAAATGGATTAAAACAGAATGTTATCTGAGGAATGAACCCTGGATTATAACGCCCCAATGATCCCAAGAAACTAAATTTCCTATTTTTTGCAAAAAAAAAGTCTGTGAAAGATGGAACAATCTACAGAAAAGGATATACTGGGTCCTAAAAGGATTTTCCCATCAAGACCATTTTAGTGTTTACATACTTCAATCAGCCTGTTTTTTTGATTGTACTGCATTGATTGTTATTTTAATATTGTGGTCCCTGAGGAATTCCCATACTTTATAGAAGGGACAAAACGCGTAAAACGACCTCCATTTGTATTTATTTTACATTTTATACAATTAAAGCCGCTTTTTTCATACCTTCACCCGGAGTCCTGCATTTTGAGTGGAAGTGTCCAGGGGATTCCCCCAGACCCCCATATCATCAGGGGTGGCACCATATATGCCTGAACTGTCCAAGATCCTGTGAGTGCATTTCATATTGCGCAGTGTTAATATTGTAAAACTGTATTACACTATACCTCTTTTTATTTATCTTTATTTAGACAATCAGCCAGTTCCCTCGTTGTGTTTTGTATATTCTAGTTTACACTTAAACCTGAAGAAACCCATATTTTCAAGGTTGGCATTTATAACGGTAACCTACATTTCCTGCCTATCTCTGAAACAAATGTTGCTCCATAATTTAAAAAGTTCAAAAACTTCAGTCTGAGACATATAAAAACTGAATTTCTGCATTTATAAAAAAATATTAACAAATCAAATTGTTTCCTGGCTTGCGTTTGTTTACGCAAACTACTCACGACTCAGTGAGATGTGCAAAATATAGATTTCAACATAGAGCAGAGAACTAGACTACAAGATTCATAATATTCTACTGTGCATATATTTATTGGACATGTATGCATTCACATTGAATTAAAAGGGCACAAACAGGTCTGGCTGAAAGATCTCGGTGATTCCGTAGTCTACAACAGGAGAAAATTTTGGATTTTTGCTAAAAAGAGATCCATTCAAATGTATTGTTTGATTTTTAAAACTAATTATTTTTTAAGAAACTTTTTTGAAGCATCCATATGTTAATAAAATGAAGAAGGGGTCAACTTCGGCCAGCCGCATCTCTTTTAGTTTGCGGCAAAAAATGATTTTAGGTACAGAAACATTCTTAATGGAATGCGACACAATGTATAGCTTTTTGACACTGATTTACTGTTGTAATTTGCTACATGTCACCCAAGTATAACTTGAGCAATGAATGGTATTTTTTCATTTCCTAAAAATATCCAAAATCTTTTAGTCCTCATTATTAATGTAATATGGTTTGGCCCACTAGCATGTCACTCATAGTGATATATAGTCCACTGCTTAAAAAATTCCAGATTGTATTGGTCTAAATTTCTGTGAAATTTAAAAAGTAGAAAAATGACAAGCCTTGTGTGACACTTATTTAACATTTAGTGTTGATATTTACATACCTCAGTTTGGATTATGTTAAAATGCAGAGCTAAATTCTAGTGTAAAGCATGAGTAAGAGTATACTGGGCTATTCTTCATCTGAGTTTAGGATAATGGCATGTATCGCATGCAAGTAATAGTTATATGTTATTGCACTTTCAAATAAAAAAAAAAGTTGGAAAATATAAATTTAGAAAAGTAACATGTTAAATTACATCAATTATATATCATATAAAAAAAGTTATTTGAAGATTTTGAGGTGATTTAAATATTCGCAGCAAGCAATGTGTGAAATTTAATGTGAAATTAACATTAACAACATTAATTTTTAAAGGAAAAAAAAATTATACAGGAAAATGCTTAATTGTTAAAAATTGTACCAGTTCAGATGCATGCCAAAACTATTTGTGTACCTATTTATGTCTATTTCACAGCATGATGGACCAGCGACTTCTAAATTTCCAATTTTTGCGCAGTTCAAATACATATTAAATTGTGTATGGTGAGTAAAGTGTACCTGTTGTGCCACATATGTATGTATATAAGTGGATCCCTTTGTAGGGAATCAAATTTTATCCCTGCATTTTTTTGTTACTTTGATGATGAGCTAAAGACAACCGCAACACCTCAAATTCCATTCTGCAGGAGGAGGATTGCAAGTATCTTCAAATTCATTTACTTACTGTTGATGTCACCAGTACAATATACAGATTGAATCTATATGTTCCCATTCAACCTCTAGGTTACAGGTTCACTTTAAAAGTATGCATTAGATATTAACTTTACTTGTATATCATGTAAAGTACTTGTCACATATTTTGCATGATTATTTCTCTCTCCCCTTTGGATTGAGCTTATCCCTAAACAAACACTTATAAAAACTTTAATGCAATAATTGTAGGCACTGTACACAAAAATAGATGTAGATATATGTGAAGAAGTAGTGCAGGTGGTAGGTCCCCACTATAACAAACAGTACACATTGCTAATGGAGTACATTTATTAAGTGCAACATCTTTATATATTGTTCCTTCATCTACCTTAAAAAAAGAGACAAAACAACATGTATGACGATTTCACATAACCCATGTATGTCTCCAGCTTATATGAAAACTCACTGAGCTTTATTACATCATGGTTTCCTGTAAACTAGAATGACGTCTAAAAATGACACAGATCTTTAATGAAGATCCCAGGTGCTTAACCTAAAATGTCATTTAGAATTTAATTTTAAAAAGGGCTGGCCAACTATGTTTGAGAGTAGCAGACGTATTGAAATCCCTGAAGATTACTAAAGCTTTTGTTTAAAAAATGATTCCATGAAAAGTAAAAAGAAAGCAATTGGATATTTAGTAAAATCTATTTGTTTTTAACTATTGTTGACAAGCCATCATTTCCTTAAAATAAAGTAAATGTAATTCAGCAAAAAATAAAATAAAAGGGGGGAGGGTTATTTTTTTGTTGCCCCAGATGTTTTCCAATCAAATACAATTACATGGTTAAGACATCAAAAATAAACACTAAAGTATACTGTTTTCATGTGATTAAAATGTTTGTATCCATTAAAGAACTCAAATTAGAATTTAACAGATATAATTTTAGATATTAAAATATATTTAAGCATTATATTGGAATAGAAAGATATGCCAAAAAAGTTAGACCTACTCAAATGATGTTTTGCTGGCCTTAAGGGACACTATAAGCTCCATTAATACCACAGCTTAGTTTATGACTGTGATTTATGCATTTGAGCACTTCCCGATAGATTTGTGTCAAACCATTTTTGAGCAGCAACGATAGGTCTTGAGTGCTAGAGGCAGGCTTGCTCCGCACTCCCAATCTATCTTTACCTCCCATATTTGGATAGATAATAAAGACATGAACCGTGGTGTTTGACAAACCACTCACCGGGGGAAACCGTGCCCAGGCCCAAAGACTCCATGCACCATACCACTACACTAAATTGTAGAAGTGCTTATTAATTGCTATTCAAAGACTCCATGCACCGTAACACTACAATGCGTTGTAGAGGTGCTTATGAATTGCTATTAAAAGACTCCATGTTGTATAGGTTAAGGTGCTTATTAATTGCTATTCAGGGCAAAGCCTCATTTGAGTGTAGGTCTATAATAGCTGGAGGTCTACCTTTTTGCAACCTTTGCATTAGAACATTTAAATTTGAAATATGGTACAAAGGAAGCAGAACAAAAATAGGAAATAGTGGGAAAAATCATTTATATTAGATGAATGACATTTTATAGATAGGCATAATGCCAGTTGCACTTAAAGGGAATTCGCCAAGCTATAAAAAAAAAAAAAAAGAAAAAAAGGAAAAAAAAGTCCATTAACTGTATCATGGAAAAAAAAAAATCACAATGGCATCTCCCTGGGATGGTGTAAGTTATGTTGGCTGTAGTGTGTATTTGTTTCTAAAACAACCATCAGTTGATACATATGGTCACTTGGTCACTTTTATCGATAGCCTTTTGCCACTCCCACAAAATTACAAAGAACCACAACATGTCTTTACTGTTAATACAATAGCAGGGGGCAAGAAGCACAGGATAATACTGGATTGTGTTTTCAGTCACAAACCCAATGCAGAAAGGAAAGGCACAAAATCCAGATAGATGGAATACAGGTTTTAAATTGTGGTGAATTTTAAACAGAACTCCATGGTTTTACAGTCAATCAGCACGGAAATGCACTTAATCACTATTACCAACAGCATTAATGAAAGAGAAGCATTACTCTTTGAGTGTTCCTTTTGTTATGCTAATTTCCCTTTAATAAGCCTGCTCATTAACATTCATTTGACATGTTTATGGCTTAAATACTATGTTTTGCTTGGTAAAACTGCATGATTAATGATCCTGAATAACATTGTATAAAGTATACAGAATACTAGTTGAGCCTGTGTAATTAAGATCAAAAAATTTCAACTGTAAAAAAAAAATGGGACATTCACACTTTTAATTTACGACATTAGTGACACTGTGCAAAGGGGCGAGTCTCATATTTCACGTCATAACGGTAAAATCCTTGTGTATTTTCAGCTGGGCTCTACAGAAAGAAAACTCAGGGGAAAGTGTCTAACACTCTGAATTTTGTCTCTTGGTATGGGAGCTGCAAACATCAGAAATCTATACAGCAGAATACGGAGGCAGAGAGGTTAAGAGAAGCAGCAACATGAAGAGTACAGAGTTAAATGGAATCAAAGGAGGATAAAGTATAATAAAAGCACCTGTAAAATAGTGTAACAGAATTAGTGTAAAGAAGCACTGCTGCACAGACAGCAATCATTGTAAAGGGCCCAGAGTACAATCGGCTTTGAAGAAGCCTCATAAAATGAAGTGTGTACAAGCTGCAGGTAGGTTGCAATTGTAAAGGCACTTTAAGGAAAAAGTTAATGAAAGTCCTGCCATGAAAAAGGTACAGAACAGGTGCCTTTCAAGAAACACCACTTACTACCAAAGAACATGGTCTAGTGCAATGAGAACCGAGTACTGTATTTCAAGATGAAACACAGATGTAAGTAGCGGCGGATATAAGGCTTTCCGCTTTCCCATTAAAACTGATCAAAGTGACTCCACCTGTCCTAGCAAACGGAGAAGTGTTACACATTTCGGAATCACATATGAATTTAATGACTTGTGAGCTCTTGCAGAGCAGAATGGGTTAAAATACTGAACCATTTGTAAAGTGCATCTGAATGCTTTCTGCTTCCCTGCACTTCATGATCAGACACAACATGCTGCAATCAATACATTATCTGGGGATCAACAGCAGTTACGTCTTGAAGAAGTTTTAGAATTGGCACTAAGCTTAGAGATTCTGTCCATACAATTTTTCCTAGCTAGCTTCCTGCTCAAGTAAATAAGATCACTGTTATGGCAAAAGAAAAAGGAAGGAAAAAAAAAAGAGCACCTTTTAGTACAAGTAATTTGCTAAAAGTGGAGATATCTCCACAATAGTTCATTATACAATGGAAAGAAAGAGGCGTTTGGATTAAAAACTGGAAAATGTTATAGTGATATTGTTGGGCACAGTCCATGTGGTTCAGAAAGAACAAAGAAATTCCCATAGTTATCTGCGCATTCATGTTAATACCTTATAATTCCAATCAGCTAGGTTTACCCAGAGGGTTCACAATACCTTAAGAAAAGGGAGCTCTCTAAAAAGAAGGATAAGAGGATAAATCTGTCAGAGTAACAGTCTGCATGAAGGGTTCTATAAAATAAGGGTCTACATTGTAGAGATGAAAATGCCTTGTTGTGAAGAATGAACAAGTCCGAATTAGGCAATGCAAAAAAGGACATAAAAGATTTTCAGATGGTCTAGATGTATACTCTGTTCGCGGTTTAGGAACATGACACCATATGTTTAAAGGGGCAGAGCCTCTAAATGTCAGATGGCACAGTTCCCATCGCTGTTCTTCACATTCTCTCGCCTGTTCTCAGAATTCAAATCTAAAAGAAACAAAGTAAATTATAGGTAAATTAGGACCATATCAAAACTTTAAATAGATTACTCCTGCACCCAAGCATGGATCTACAAACAAATGCCTCAATTTAATAAACTTTCCAAATGATTTAATGTTGTTAGAAAAATGATTCCAAATGATTTATCTACAAAAATAACTATTAAACTATATGGGAATTGTAGATAAATCACTTAGAAACCAGCATTGAATTATTTGGAAAGCTTATTAAATTGAGGCCCATGACCTGTATATTTATGTAAGTGAGCAACGGAACACTCCTGTGCTATTCAACCCACCTCCCCACAGTTTCTTCAAAACACTCTTGATTAATGTTGGTAAACGTGTGTCTCTCACTCTTGAACTGCAATAATCCCCCTTGTTCATTTCTTTTCATGTCTTTCTCCACCAAAGCATTTTATTATTCCCTCCTTGTAACGCACCATAGTCAACGTAGGCTTTATAGGAGTCAGACAAAAGAGAGAAATGAAGAGGCTGAATCAAGTACTGCTTACAATATCCGTGCAATAGGGTGGTCTCAAAACAATACAAACTAATAATTCAGCACGCATTGAATTAACAGTCTCCCTGCACTAATTCCACTTCAGAAAATCAGGACATGAATAAAATACGACTGAAAACGGTTCAGGAAGGTTAACTAGACCCTGCAACATGACAAAACAAAAAAGGGAAATCAAACACAATAAAGCAAACAAACAAAAATCTGAGCCGAAAAAGACAGACAAAAAAAATTAAAATTATTTACTAAACCAAAAATAAAAAAGATGATTGAAAAATTGAAATGAGAGAGCATGAGGTGAACAGTTCATCAACACTGTAGGCTGCATGGCATACTGCTGTCCAAACAGTGAATGAGTGCAGTACTCATGGCTACTGGGAAGTTATACCCTAAAACAGGGATGTGTGGTTAAGGGAGCTTGGTTATGAAAAATAGGAATAGGAATAATTTCTTCAACTGAAGTTCAACAGAAAAATACAGATACCAACAAGGGACATAATAATCTGAAGAATTACGAGATATGTACATAATATATATATATATATATATATATATATATATATATATATATATAGCTCTTGGCACTATGCTAAACTAAATTAGACTGGGTTGAAAGAGCAGAAGGTTCTCCACATTTTTAACTCTTGGGAACCCTATGTACAATCCCTAGATATACACCACCAATATCATAATCATAAAAAATAAAAAATAAACTTCAGTGCACTGACTGTTATTCTTTACAAATACTTCACTTTAACCCCTGTGTGACATGTCATGGTTCACTTTTATTCCAGAAGTTTGGTCCTTAAGGGGTTAAAATAACACTATACCATTAGGTATGCAAAACATGTATTCCTCACACTATAGACGACCTATCCTATTTTGCTTTCCGTTCCCCCTTGTGAGGGTTTAAAAGACGAGTTTAACTTACCATGCTGGTCTCCACCGCCGCTGCTCCACCTCTCTGGTAGTACCATCTTCCCTTTTATTTTAAAAAGCAATTTTGTGCCCCCTAGTTCTTTCATCTTTAAAATGAATTATGCTGTCCTGTTTTGGGACTTTTTTGTTTAATATGCATCATCCCAATACGATGTAAATAAACACACACACACAGCATACTGAATATGTATTTCAAATGCATTACCAGTCTTTGCAATCAATGCTTTGTGCTTCAATTCATCTGAAGCTTTTTGCCTGCATCAGCCCCACGTTTTCATATACTCTGCCAGCATCTTCTCTCATTCTGTAACAGAAGAATTAGAAATGCTATATACAGAAAGCTGAAACACATTGACTCACAATCCAAGTTTACTATCCCACACAAGGTTAAAACATATGCTTCAAAAAAGTCACGCTACGCTGATTAAAATGGTTTATTGATGCACAAAGATTTGAATTAGCGAAAGTCTCCTTGCATAAAGTCTCTTTGCAAAAAGTTGTACATGCAGCTTCAGTAGCAACAGCAATTATTTTGCCAGTGCTAGTCAGGAAATTCTAATTCTATCTGAATAATAAGGCAAACCTACTGCTTACACTGTTACCAAACTCGCACAAGCTGAATGTGCTGGGTTTTACTCTGGTCCATATGTGAACAATAATAAAGAGAAAGTTAAAAATGGCAAACCTGATGTCATTATTCTGAGTTACCAGCTAGTTATAGGAATGACAGCCATTTCCCAAAACATACATAAATAGATAATAACATAAGCATGATTTCAAAGTTACAAACACAGTTTCACTTACTCAGTAAGGGTGGGTGTTGGTAAAGGCGTGGGTGTACAAGGCGGCAAAGGGCTCTGGTCCCCGGCTGTCTGCTCAGAGAGGGAGTATTTGATGTTTGTATATTCATGTCCTTTTCTCTTACTTTTCTGAAAATTGTAGAGGAAAGTTCAGTCAATCAGTGTTTATAGACTATAACATTGACCAGCACACATTATTAAATCACATAGCTGTAATATAATCACTCTGTGATAAAGAGAAACCCATTCAAACTAGTATTAGTATGAAATCCTGCCTATAGTGCTTTTCTGCTAATAGAACATATATGAATATTGCCATTTATGGTGTCTTGACAGCCCAGCATATTGTTTTTGTGAAACAATAGCTATTCATTTGTTCCTTGAGGACCACTACTTACAAAATAAAACCATGCTGGGCATCAACTCCCCTCTAATCTACACGGCAGCTAAACATTATAAGCATAACCACCTTCAAAAGACAGTCCAACTTTCACTTGTTCTACATTCTATGTAACAAAAGAGGCAGATCATAACTCAACCCGTTATTAAGAAGGCATTTCTCACAGAGATACTTAAAAACGGGTTTATTAACTTGCAGCAAAAGAAAAGATTCCACTTGTACACATTTTGTATTTCCCCAATATACTTTGTGGAAGTTCAACTATGAAATGTAGCAAGCTCAATCCAACAGGGTGAATATGTACCAAAAGCCAACCACCTGGTCATGTCAAACCACTGTTAAATAAATTGATTCAACTGGGATTTACCTGTGAAGTCTTATTTATTGAATAAGGCACCAAGTATAAATCCCAGAAGCATTGATTTGTTCAGATATGGATTAAAAGGAGTTTGATTCGGACGAACCGGTTACTAGTCTAGCAGTTGTAGTGTTGAGATGGAAAACATCTTTGAGGTTCTTTTTATTGCGGGACAACATTACTCCCATATGCCTCACTGATGTAAGTATTCAAGAAATACAAGAAATATATCTTATATAAACTTTCAATGTTAACGCCGCCTAGATGTTTAAAAGACTTTTCACATAAATTCTTCACACTATATCCAGATATTGGATCTGCAATCCTGGGTGTTAGCATATTTCACCAATTCCATGACTTCATGGGAGGCGGAGAGATAAGTAGCCTCAGCACTGTAAAAAGGCAAGTAAATAATTTTTAATCGGACACCAATATATCTAGGGACAGGGACACCAAAGCATTGGGAATGAAGGTTTGTAATTCTAACACTTTAGTATTTGCTTAATAAATCCACGCTGTTTCTTTCAGTGGTTTAAAACATGCCTAGACAAATCTAGACTGCATTTCCATGGATTACATCTCTGAATGCCAGCAGGGAACATATATTGCCAATAGATCTCATGCCAGTAGAAGGATATATTATGTAAAATTAAGTTAATATAAACAAAGCTCCAGGGCCTGACGGTATCCATCCACGTGTACTTAAGGAACGAAGTGTAGAAATAAGTGAACCTCTGTTTTTAATCTTTCAAGATTCTTTTCTTTCAGGAAGTGTTCCGGAGGATTTGAGGAAGGCAGATGTGGTTCCTATATTCAAAAAGGGTTCAAAATCCTTGCCTGGAAATTATAGACCTGTGAGCTTAACTTCTGTGGCTGGTAAAATATTTGAAAGGTTATTATGGGATAATATTCAAGAATTCCTTGAGAAGCAGAAGTTATCAGCAAAAATCAGCACGGTTTTATGAAGCACAGGTCATGTCAAACTAACTTGATTGAGTTCTACGAAGAAGTAAGTAGAAGTATAGATCAGGTTGTTGCAGTGGATGTGATCTATTTGGATTTTGCCTAGGCATTTGATACAGTTCCACACAATAGATTAGTGTTCAAACTCAAGGAAATCGGTCTAGATGAAAATGCTTGTTCTTGGGTAGAACATTGGCTTAAAAACAAAGTACAAAGAGTTGTCAATAATGGTAAATTTTCAAGCTGGACAGAGGTGGCAAGTGGTGTCCCTCAGGGGTCTGTTCTGGGACCCCTTCTATTTAACATGTTCATAAATGATCTTGAAGACAGCATTGAAAATCATGTTTCAGTGTTTGCAGACTTTGTAAAATAATGCAATGTGAGCAAGATATTACTTTGCTGCAGAGGGATTTAGATAGACTGGAGGACTGGGCACTCAAATGGCAGATGAAATTTAATGTTGAAAAATGCAAAGTTATGCACTTCGGCGTAAAGAATACACAAGCAACGTATACCCTTAATGGAAGCGAATTAGGGATAACAACACACGAAAAGGACTTGGGAATTGTTATAGACAACAAACTATGCAACAATGTGCAATGTCAATCAGCAGTGGCCAAGGCCAGTAAGGTATTGTCATGCATGAAAAAGGGCATTCATTCTCGGGACGAGAATATCATTTTGCCTCTTTATAAATCACTGGTAAGACCACATATTGAATATGCAGTGCAATTTTGGGCACCTATTCTAAAGAAGGATATTATGGCACTAGAAAAAATGCGGAGGCGGGCTACAAAATTAATAAAAGGAATGGAACATGTCAGCCATGAAGAAAAGTTAACAAATTTAAACCTATTTAGTTTAGAAAAACGTCACCTGAGAGGGGATATGATAACATTATACAAATATATTCGGGGCCAATACAAACCATTGTGTGGAAATCTAGTCACAAACCGGACTTTACATAGGACATGAGGCCATGCGTTTAGACTGGAAGAAAGAAGCTTTCGTCTAAGGTCAAGGAAAGGTTTTTTTACTCTAAGAACAATAAGGATGTGGAATTCTCTGCCTGAAGAAGTGGTTTTAACAGAGTCCATACAGATGTTCTAACAGCTACTAGATGCATAATTGCAAAAACAGAATATTCAAGGATATAATCTTTCAATGTAGGGTAATAACTGCTTGATCCAAGGATTAATCTGACTGCCATTCTGGGGTCAAGAAGGAATTTTTTTCCTAGCTTGTTGCAAAATTGTGCTTCAAACTGGGGTTTTTTGCCTTCTTTTGGATCAACAGTAAAAAACAAATGTGAGGAAGGCTTAACTTGATGGATGCAAGTCTCTTTTCACCTATGTAACTATGTAATTTATATAAATCTGTAGTGATAATTTTCCATTAAAGTTCTTACACTTGCTGAGAATATTTTTGTAAAGCCATCATCTTCAGCAGTGCCACGTGTATGGTAATAATTTAATAGATTTCACGCTTTATATTTTGCATAGAATGTTCTGCCCACCAGCCTGCTGGCAGGATTGCTGCAAGGTGTCCTAGTATTCCCACTGCTGACCTGATCTGACGAGAAATTGATGTTAGAAGTGGTTTTATTTCTGATTGAGCAACTTTGTCTGTTCACAAATTAACAGACCTTCATGGATGCTGAATCTAGCATCACTCGTAGGAACTTGATTTATTTTGTTGCTATGAGATGTGACATTTCACAGTCAGGCCCTATTCTTGTTTATAAATAGAAAAATAGAAACATTGAATGTGACGGCAGATAAGAACCATTCGGCCCATCTAGTCTGCCCAATTTTCTAAATACTTTCATTAGTCCCTGGCCTTATCTTATAGCTAGGATAGCCTTATGCCTATCCCACGCATGCTTAAACTCTTTTACTGTGTTAACATCTACCACTTCAAATGGAAGGCTATTCCATGCATCCACTACCCTCTCAGTAAAGTAATACTTCCTGATATTATTTTTAAACCTTTGCCCCTCTAATTTAAGACTATGTCCTCTTGTTGTGGTAGTTTGTCTTCTTTTAAATATAGTCTCCTCCTTTACTGTGTTGATACCCTTTATGTATTTAAATGTTTCTATCATATCCCCCCTGTCTCGTCTTTCCTCCAAGCTATTCCTTTAACCTTTCCTTGTAAGTTTTATCCCGCAATCCATGAACCAGTTTAGTAGCCCTTCTCTGAAATCTCTCTAAAAGTATCAATATCCTTCTGGACATACGGATTCCAGTACTGCGTACAATACTCCAAGTGAGGTCTCACCAGTGTTCTGTACAATGACATGATCACTTCCCTCTTTCTACTGCTAATACCTCTCCCTATACAACCAAGCATTCTGCTAGCATTTCCTGCTGCTCTATTACATTGTCTGCCTACCTTTAAGTCATCAGAAATAATCACCCCTAAATCACTTTCCTCAGATGTTGACGTTAGGACTCTATCAAATATTCTGTACTCTGCCCTTGGGTTTTTACATCCAAGATGCATTATCTTGCACTTATCCACATTAAATGTCAGTTGCCACAATTCTGACCATTTTTCTAGTTTACCTAAATCATTTGCCATTTGGCTTATCCCTCCTGGAACATCAACCCTGTTGTTACATATCTTAGTATCATCAGCAAAAAGACATACCTTACCATCAAGACCTTCTGCAATATCACTAATAAAAATATTAAAGTGAATGGGTCCAAGTACAGATCCCTGAGATACCGTACTGGTGACAAGTCCAAGCTTCGAATATACTCCATTGACTACAACGCTCTGTTGCCCTTCACTCAGCCACTGCCTTACCCATTCAACAATATTGAAATCCAAACTTAAAGATGGCAGCTTATGGATAAGCCTTCTATGTGCAACAATGTCAAAAGCCTTACTGAAATCTAGGTAAGCAATGTCTACTGCACCACCCTAAACTATTATATTAGTTACCCAGTCAAAAAAAATCAATAAGATTAGTTTGGCACGATCTCCCTGAAGACCCATGTTGTCTCTGATCTTGAAATCCATGTGTTTTTAGATGTTCATCAATCCTATCCTTTAACATGGTTTCCATCACTTTCCCCACTACTGAAGTAAGGCTTACTGGCCTATAGTTGCCCGACTACTCCCTATTACCTTTCTTGTGAATGGGCACAACATTAGCTAACTTCCAATCTTCTGGGACTACTCCTGTTAATAATGATTGGTTAAATAAACCTGTTAATGGTTTTGCTAGTACACCACTAATCTCTTTTAATAACTTTGGGTGTATTCCATCAGGTCCCATTGACTTATATGTCTTTACTATTGACAGTCGAATATACAGATATTACATAGTCCTGTCAGGATTTAACCATCAGCACTTTAAGTAAGCAGTTATCTAAGTAAATACCTTCGCTACACATATGGCACGAAATGACTGCTAACATTTTGGTGTAAACAATATTTTTTGACAATGGCCAGGAAAGCAAGATCTTGATTTAGACATACACTTCCTACTTTGAAATCGCAGGTGAGCTTATGTTCTATGCTCCTCTGTCACAGACAAGTAAGCAATATGGAGATCAAAACCAAAATCTGAATAACGTGCTGATCAGAATATGGAGATCAGAACCAAAATCTGAATTGGATCAACAGCAAAAAACAAATGTGAGGAAGGCTGAACTTGTTGGACGCAAGTCTCTTTTCAGCTATGTAACTATGTATTGAATAACGTCTGAAACCTTTTTACATATGAAAAATGAAAGTCATAGTCCAAAATATATACTACTCCAGTATATTTAAACAGATAAACTAAGCTCCAAAACAAATTGAGCTTAATGAAGTAATTTTGGTTTATTGATCACAATCCTGCAGTCTCTCTGCTCAATTTTTTTCATTTTAGGAGTTAAATTACTTTGTTTATGCAGCCCTAACCACATGTTCCCCTGGCTGCAGAATCTATAAAAATGTTTAGCTTTTAATCAGAGCACAGTGTGTTTACTTTAGAAGTTATTAACACCTGCTCTGTTAAGTGAACTTTAATCACACACAGGACACTGCTGCAGGCAACAAATCAGGAGATAAGATACAGTGTGTAGTCCCATCCTGGGGAGGTATGGCTAGGGATAAATAATCAAAAGTGATTTAACTCCTAAATGGCAGAGAATTGAGCAGTGAGACTCCATGAGTATGATACTCCGTTAAGCTAAAGTAATTTTGTGCTTTGAGTGCCCCTTAAAAACTTACAAGGTTGTAAAAAGTTTTAATTTCTTTTTGATGGAACAGTGAAATTAGTTTATCAATACAACATTCTGCAATTATGATAACATTTTTATTACTCCAAGAATCCATTAATTGGTTGCAGCATTAAGACATTAAAAAGGGACAATCTTCCTTATTAATCGTTTACTTCTGCTATCACAAACATTTAATTCAATATATATAAATTCCAGTGCTAACCATTTTTTCCTTGTGCAATACCATGACACCAACTTTAAGGCTAAAACAATCTTACAATCATTACTAGATTGAATTATGTATGCTCTGAATGTATTCCTTTGCTTTCTTTCTGAAATGTAGGGGTTTTTTTTTACAGTACCTCACAACCTGCTCTTTATATGTGTACTGCATTAAACCTGCACATTTTCCGACATGAATATCAATTAATTCCAATAGAAATCCATCAGAATAAAAGAACGTACCTGCTCTTCTTCAATTCTGCGTTGCAAAGTTTCTATGTAATGCTGTACTGCCATGTATATAAATCTGTATTGTGCTTCTGTCTGGACCATTCCTGACCTCTGAGATCTTACCATCTGAATGGTCTTAGGAACATCTATGTCACAATCCACACCTAATTGAAAAAAAAAAATGCAATTCAATAAAATAGCAAGCATATGTCAATGTGAAGCTAGTGTTCAGTGTAAAATGCAGAGGTTTGTTTAACCAGTAAACTCCTATATTTAGATACCTAGAATTTCTCGATGGTCAGAATACACCAGAAGTGCTATCTGCTGCAAACTAGATCCTTTGGAAAATCCAGTAATGACAGAACAGCTTAGGCATTCCCCAGTTTGATTCTTCAGTAACTTCAACAATGTCTCTACTCAATTAAGGGAAGTTCATGGTACCCTAACTATCAGCAAAGCTTACATCTGATTAAATGTCAGTTGTGTGGAAAGGGTTATTGTAAACATGATAGTTGTATAAACAATTGATGTTTATAATCAATCTGGTTGACTTATTAAACTGCAAGCATGAATGTTCAAACCTAATAGTGCATTTGAATCACTGTCAAACTTAATCTATACAAAAGAAAAACAAAACAACAAATGCAAGAAGCTCTAATACTCTTCTATAGCAAGAAAAGTTAGCTAGTCAAATGTATAAAAGATCAGCATTCATATACACGGCACATACTAATTCTGTATGGCACATACTAAATTCTGAAAGTTTCAGACATGTATGTGATTGCCATTTTTATGTTAATGGCTGACCAATTTAACCCCTTAAGGACACATGACATGTGCGACATGTCATGATTCCCTTTTATTCCAGAAGTTTGGTCCTTAAGGGGTTAAAGACGGCCGCCTGCTAGTCAAGCAGAGTTACGCATTGCAGCAAAATGAAATCTAAATGGCAAAAAAAATATAGATTGTACCACTGGGATTTCAGTTTGCTTAGTTTGTAGTGAATAGTGCCTGGAACACAGATTTGTTCAACTATCACAGATGGGGTAGCCAACCCCAGGTCTGGTTGCACCAGGATTTTGATAAGAGTGTGGAAGTGGGTTAGGACATAGCCCTGCCATCTCTTCTACCTGCACAAAGTCAATGCAGCCTCCTGACCTGTGAATGCCAATGACAAGTGAATCCTCAATATTGTACATTATCTGCACAAGACAAAAGTAATGGCAGGAATGCACAATTCCTATGTTGTTTTCATACTCGGTGCGCATCAATAGGCAGTTAAATAGACACAAGAGTAATGCAACTCTCAGCACTCCAGTGCTATAGTTCCTATAGCCTATGCATTTCTTTAGAGCCCAATTTCTAGTTTAAGATCATTATCTTCACTTTACTTGATGTTTTGTCATCTAGCTCCCAGCTTCCTGAACTGTTGCTCTCCCACCTTAACTACTCGTTAATGCTGCTTGCCTTGATGTATCCATTACTTCACCATGCTTTTTACTGTCTTAACTAGTCAGTGCATAATCTCTGTGGCTTTTCAAAATCTAGAACGTGTAAACCCACTTTCAGCCTAATTACTATGAGTGTGTTTCTCCTAGTTCCTGTAATAATTATGGACTGGTCAGTCCCTCACATGTGTTTTTAGAATCATGTTTCTGTATAATTAAAGATAAACTTTAATAAAATATGTCTAAGCATCATGAAGGACTGCATTAATAAATAAATACTCCGTTAGAATGCATGCATCTGGAGAACTATTTTCATTTTCTTTGCCTTGACAGGAAAGGAGATATGTAACACACTACAAAAAGGATAACCTCCTTGCAATGTATGACACTTTATTTTTTATTTTTTTAAACAGATAGGAAGGCAGGTAACCTTGATGGGATGGCAGTTCTGGACCCCAATAATGAGATCTGGAATTAATTACAATAACCCTGCTGACATACAGTTGTATTAGATTAAATGACACATCATTAAGGTATGCTATTACATGAAACCTATAGTTTATAAACAGGATACCCTTAAAATTAGAAATTATAAAAACTATCAAGTGTGGAGCCATCACTAACTCTTTAGTTTAGTTGTATTCCCTTTCCAAGAGATAAGACTTCTGGGAGGGTGTAAGGTGCCTTCAAAATGCAGGATACAGAAAAATAACAATAAAATGAATAAATAAAAAGCAAACTCAAAATCTTGGTAAAATAATATATTTAACTAAAATGTCCATGCCTCAAGGCAAGGCAAAAAACTAGCAGATGAAATAAAAATAATGAATTCATTTTTAAGACATTGTGGCTGGCTGCCATTGAAGATAAAGTCCCTAAAGCATGAATTTACTACATATATCTCTATTTTCTATCAAATTAAATCTGGCTATTTTAATGTTGTTATTATTCAGAACACAAAGGACACAGCTATGGTATTCACAGTATATATAACAATGAATGGGTATGCTGCACAGTTCTGCAATGTTATACTAACTGCTATATATGGGTTAAAGGTGTGTGCATGTGAATTCATACACACAAATATCAGTGTGTAGTGTGTGTATGTATGTATGAGTGTGTGTGTGTGTGTGTATATATATATATATGAAAAAAATGCAGAGGTGGTGATTTTTTGAAATATATTTTGGAAATCCAAGAGAGTGCTCCTGTTTTCTTTTTTGTTTATACTATTGCTGGGAAGCACCCGGGTACAAGTTACTGGTATATATCATTTTTTCAGGTTGAGTTCCAGAGTTTGGACATTGCTCTATATACATATATACACATATATATATATATATATATATATATACACACACACACACATACTACACATAACTTCAAAATAAAAATGATGCTACATTATTAAAAAAAAAAAAAAAACAGAACTGCCTAAGTATATATTAATGTGGCAATGAAATGGCAAGTGACCTATCAACTTTGCCAAGCTGGTACTATGTATATCTGCTGAAAGAAACACTCAGCAAAGTGCTCAGCCTGCAGCAAGAATTTCCACAATATATGGTAATACAAAGTGTCACATAATTCAGGGTTATTGCAGTATTGCTGTATACCTATTACAAACAACGTGTAAGAAATTTAGACTAGCATACGGTCATTACATAAGACGCAGCATTTCAATCTGTTTGTATGCAATACAATGACTCACAATAATGCTTGCAAACTAAAAAGATGCTGAGAGTGATTTATAGCCCTTGAAAAACTGCATCATCCCTTCAATCAATGAATATGAGAAATGAACCGTGTCAACTACAGTGATGCATAATGTGTTTCAGCTTCACTACTCAAATCTCCAGATTTCTACTCACCTTTTTCTCTGATGACATCAATAAGAATATCAATGACAATAAAAGTGCCTGTCCGCCCGATCCCTGCACTGTTAATAAAGATGATGAAATCACAGTGAGCAACAGAGAGGTCAATGTCAAACAACACATTACATTTCACTGCTGTATATCAATAAAATCCTCCACAAACACATAAGTTATATTGAAATTGTCTTCCGGTTCTAAGGACTACAGTTTGCAAAAGAGCAAAAACAGTCACATTTATACAGGGAATCATATATAAAACAAAGGTGGGTTTTTTGCATTATTTACACCTCTACAACAATCAGTAGCTAAAAACTACATGAGATGAAAGGAGGGGAGGACAATTTCTTTTTTTTGGAAACTTCTTTCCATAAAATGAAACACGTGTATTGTATTCACTAACATTAAATATGCAGTAAATCCTTGCTGTTATTTTACTTTTATTTATCTGTGAAGCAAATATGGATTTCTTGCTAAAACACTAGTTCTCAAACCAAAAGGTCCAGGTAACATGGTGTGGACCTGTGCAAGAGAGCATTACATTTCCCTATTCTCTTAAAAGGACCACTATAATGAAGCTTAATGAAGTGGTCTGGGTGCCTGGTCCATCTAGGGTTAACCCTTTTTTCTATAAACATAGCAGTTTCAGAGAAACTGCTATGTTTATGTTATGGTTAAAGGACCACTCTAGGCACCCAGACCACTTCAGCTTAATGAAGTGGTCTGGGTGCCTGGTCCCGCTAGGGTTAACCCATTTTTTCATAATTATAGCAGTTTCAGAGAAACTGCTATAATTATTAATGGGTTAAGCCTTCCCCCATTCCCATTAGCAGCTGTCTCATTGACAGCCACTAGAGGCACTTGCGTGCTTCTCACTGTGATTTTCACAGTGAGAGCACGCCAGCGTCCATAGGAAAGAATTGTAAATGCTTTCCTATGTGACCAGCTGAATGCGCGCGCAGCTCTTGCCGCGCGTGCGCATTCAGCCGACGGGCAGAACGGAGGAGGAGAGAAGGAGGAGAGCTCTCCGCCCAGCGCTGGAAAAAGGTAAGTTTTAACCCCTTTCCAGAGCCGGGCGGGAGGGGGACCCTGAGGGTGGGGGCACCCTCAGGGCACTATAGTGCCAGGAAAACGAGTATGTTTTCCTGGCACTATAGTGGTCCTTTAATGGGAGAGAAGAGAGCAATATGTAATGACCATCTCCTAGTTAATCAACTGCAAAGCTTTATTTGTTCATATCGCTGTGGAACTTAGTGCACAATCGGTTACCTGTGCTCTACCTCAAATTACCTTAATGAGAACAGCTGTCTGCAATTGTAAAGGCAGGCCTTACCTGCAGTGAACTACGACAGGCCCAGGTTCTGCAATATTGTCTTGTTTATGATGGACTTCTTCTAAAAAGTCCAATACACCACCAGGGTCAGTAGGAACTCCATGATCAGGCCAGGTTTTGAAATGGTATTGCCAAACAGTCCTCTCTGTGTTACCCTTAACAGGACAAGAAAACCATTTTCCTTTTAACATAAATGAAAGCTGACAAATTCAGAGCGGAGTGCAAACATTTCATAAATCAATTAGAAGTAAGAAAAATATTTTTGCTGGGAAGAAAAAGCACTGTGATACATAAGTGACCCTTTAAAGTTCTAAAATCAACACCTTCCTGTACAAACAATTGAGTTACACATCAGCGAAAGCAGTCATAAAACAAAAGTTATGCAAAACAATGCTATTGGGGAGTTATAAAAGTTTAGATATCAGAAAAAACGTTCCATTAATTTTAGGACAACTGCCCCACAGCAGCTTACCATACTAAACCTTATTGTTTCATGAAAACCCTAATATTAAGACAATACTCACTTGTCCAACTTTTGAAAGTTTAAGTTCTCTCAATATATAATCATGAGCTGGAGTTTCTTTTACATTTCTCACACGCATAACGCCATATTCCTTTAATGCAAACTCCTCAGGCCAGTACTTCACACATTTACTCTGTGACAATTCAAAATATAAAATAGTTAAATTTAAACACTAAATGATGATGTGTATATAGAGACACACATGGTTAGAAAACTAAATCCAGAATATCATCCACTAGACTCACCTTTCCTCTCTCTACCTCTTTTGTAGTCATTACAATAACTCTGGAATTTTCCTGAAACACCATTCTCCAGAAGTCGTTAACTGTATTTTGCAAGCAACCCTGAGTAGCTATATACCGTTTCTTGGGTTTCATGTTGTTGCACTTTGTTTCAAATTCAGGCTGCAATGATGCATTATAGAGAAGTGGATCCTAAATTAACCAACATTTTTAAACTCAATAATCATGTCGTAAAATACAATTGATAATTTTTACAATACATTTTCTGAATATCAATGCATACAAGACTGGAGATTAGATAGATTTTACATTTTAAATAAAAACTATTTGAAAATATATATATTTTTTTTTTATTAAAAATTCAGGTGTGTTCTCACCATAATTGTATTGGCATTGATGTAATCAGACACCTGTTCATTGGGATCTCCATCATGAAGAACAACCCTTGTGTGATCAACTACAACAAACAAAAAAAGAAAAGAAATGATTAATGTGCTCATTTTAAATTATGTTTGCTGCTATAATGTGTTAGCATAATTTAGTTGGCGATGGGAGAATGATTCTTTTCTCCCTACATGTGCACAGAGGCAGTCTGGTCTGATGACTCCATACAATGAGTGGACGCTTGAGTTTATCAGACCGCATTCTGAATGGCAGATAGGAAGGTGTATTGTAATCAGATGCAACAAACAATAGGGTTTTATACTTAAAAATTCTGTTTTTCAAACTGTAAAGGTGACATAGAAATGGACATCATTCCCTCAATGGAATATGCTGTAGATCAATGGATTTGCATTTCTTTTTAATTTTTTTGTTAGAAAATATTTTATTTTATTAATATTTATTAGAAAATATTGTTGTTTTTTTTCACAATACAAAAAGACAACATAATCTACATACATACAATGATTAGATATAATATATTGCAATCTGTGATAGATAGTATTCCATATACAGACATAGAGACTATGTACATTTTTGGTGTGAACGGACACCAGATGTTGTATTTATGGGAGCTTTTTTTGTTTTTTCTTGTTTCAGCAGATCTAAATCAAGTCAAAGGGTAATTTGCGGACTGAAAGAATATTATGTTCACAGATTTAATTTAGGAGACCACAGCCAATCTATAAATGGAGATTTTAAGTTTGAGTATGATGGCTTATTTCAGTTAAAGTCCTTACCCAAGGGAGCCATCTTTTTCCAAAACCGAACCTTCTCCTGATTGAAAATAAATCCCCTTTGTAGCAAGATTTGTTGTAGCCAGTGTCTTGATAAAACTACTTTTATGGCCATTAACAGTTGTATTATTAGATATCTTTTTGGAAGGAAATCTAGATAGATTAAAATGAAAAAGAGCTGCCACAAAACTCCAAGAGATCCAAGTCTTCCTGAACCAAATGGGAAATTTCTTTGGAAGCCCTAATCCATAATGGTCTGATCATTACACAGTCCCACCAAATATGCTTAGAACAACCCACTTCACGATTACACCTCCAGCACAGCTTTGAATTATTAGAACTGATTTCATTTAGAATATTTGGAACCATATATCTTATTGTGAAGTTCAACGATATTTGAATAGTGAAATTATTTTTCCACCTTTTTTTTAAAGCGACGGTTTCAACTTTGTGGTTTTGGGGAATAGATGCTGCCCCTACTGTTTTGCTGTTGTAAACAGTGCCATTTGTGAGACCTAGCACAATTTATACTTTGCAATGCCCATAGATCGGGACTAAAACAGATTTAATTAATGGATTCACATTACATCTGGCATCTGCATGCAAATGTTGACGCTGAATTCTATGTTTGCATCCTATTCTTCTCTATAAAAAGCACTGGATTTAATACTTCTTATAGAGAAACGATAGACTGGCAGATCGCAGCAACCGACACGCATGTGCAGCATGTCTGCAATAATTCTCTATGAAAAGCAGTTTTTTGGATACAAGTCATCAATCCTGATGACTTCAGTGAGAGCAGATCAAGCTGCAGTGAGGTGTCTAACTATATGCTGAATTTCAGGTAATTTCAATAGCAATGCAATGATTTATGGAGGACCAGTAATCGAAAATGAATAAGGAAACGAAGGAACTATGTATGTGTATATGTTCCTTTACCACTGCCACATTGTTTTGTGTGCCCTTGTTAGCAATTGGGAGAAGGAGGATGAATTGAGGGGAGAATTGGCAGGAAAGTATGCTGTGCATGCAGTGGTCAGAAGCAAATTTTGCACAGAATTGACATTAGCCAGCCTGGAACGATGGATAATGACATTGCCAGTGGTAGAGATACACCTAGGCCGCTAAGGAGTTAGTCTCTGTATTGTGCAGCGTTTCACAGTGAAATGCATACCAACTCAAGATACAATAACCACTTCAAATCACTGAAGTGCTTATGGTGCTTGAAGTAACCCTTTAAGTTACCAGTGTAAATTGGTAAGTGCATGGCTGTCAGTCTGAGTGACTGCCCTAGCCGCAGCTCACTCTTATCTTTTTTGCATGCTCCTTGCATGGGAACAGATCTTGAGCGAAGAGGTTACAAACTCGTCAGGCCTACTCCTTTTCTCACCATGTGACAAACTGTCAATTAGCAACAAACAGTGCAATTTAGACTGGACCCTTTGTATCCTAATAACAGTTCAAAATACAAAGCATATAGAGCATAACCACTGAAACAACATAAGTGGATCTATGTAGATTCCTAGGGGGATGAAAATAAAGCATCCCCTTGTACTGGAGTTTGGCCCCAAAGAAAGTTGAGGGGGAACCATTGTGTTTGTTGGCAGGAGAACCAGAATTTGTCCTACAGACCTTATAGTATGTGGCGAAAGAAGAAGATACCGTTTCAAAAAAAGCCTTTTATATGGTGGGCCTTTTAAAAGCACTATAAATTAGTAGTCAGACTCTGGGGCTGTTTACTACCATGTCATACTCACAGGGTAAGATATTCTTGTAACGGTTCTTGTTTTTGTTTTCAGGCCTCTGTCCCTCTTTGCGGCTGTACAGAAGTTTGCATTCCTGCTGTTGCAATGTCTGGAAAATAGTTGCAACACAAACCATCTCACATAAAAAGGCCTGGGATACATTTATCTTTTGTCAGTTAAAGAAGATGCTGTCCACTTTCTCTCCACCTGTCCCAGAACCAATCCCCAGACTGAGCAATTACCTATCTGTCAGAGACACAATGAGGTCTGCTGTTAATGTGTTCTTAAAATATACAGCCCTCTTGTAAGTAACACAGCAGTTCCAAAGAGGAAACTGTTCAGGGGGGTTGTAAAACTAAATACCCAATTATATATCTAAAGCTTATTCCAGTATCTACTTAGTAACCTTGACCAACAAAAGGCAGTGACAATACCAAATGAAAATAGCATTGGAAAAAAGACATGCTGTTACATGTACTCCATTAATTTCTCAAGATGCTGTGCCTGTAATCATCACTCTATAAACTAGGCATGGTCAAAATGTACCCATAGCTATTTAATAACTACAAGTCCCATGAAGCCTTGAGGCTGGGAGGGCATCATGGGTTTTATAGTCCTACATTTGGAGAAGTTATATTTGGCTACATTGTTCTAAACAAACAGGGATAAAATAAATGTATTCAGTGGCTAACAAATCACATTAAAAATACAAAATCAAGATCAAACACCAGAATGTTTTTTTTTCTGATATCGTTATTTTGTTTCTCTGTATCTTCTTACCCTTTTCATTTAGTGGTTCAAAACCATGATTGTTAGTGTCAAAATTTTATTTTTATTTGTATGTAACACCCACTCCCTTTCACATTATTTAAATTCAGGATTATGCATGCCTTTTACTAACAGAGCAAACTTTATCACTGCATATAAATCAGTGGGGAAATCTTTAAAAAAAAAAAAAAAAAAGTTAATGCAGTCAGCTTCACCGAAATGCAAACTTTTTCTGGGACACTGAATATATGACAGAAAGAGGTTTGCTTGATATACCTGTTTGCACAAGGGATTATATCTTCCTGTCTGACTCCTATTAAGTGCTGAATGATTGCGTACAGGAATAAAATTAACCTTCAGGATCAATTTGTCAAGGGATTCCATTCAAACATTCAGAAGGAAGCTTTTCATTGTGTGCTACTGGCAATACACTGAACAGGTTTTCATTAATAGACTCATTAATTCTATAGCACAAAAAATGCATTTCTGGGCCCCTCCAGCAAAAAAAGGAAACAGTTTATTTTCTGAGATGATTTAATTGCCATATAAATGTGTATAGTGTACACAATACTGGCAATAACAACAACAATAATAATTGTAGGCATCGTGATTTTTGTTCCATGCGGCTTGCAATCTAAGAATCAGTTATCTGGGCACTTTTATGGCATCAGTAGTTGAGTTCCTCACTCCTGCACAGTCATTCGTTTTGGCCTTTTCCTTCAGCCACTGTCATTATGCAGCACTACATTCTGCATCAAGCACTGCAGTGTTAGGCATTATATAGGGAGGGCAGCTCTAGCTTGCAGAGAATACTGCAATGCCACAGAGTGTGTAGGAAAAGACAGAAGGGAAATGTGCCATTAAAAGGGAGAGATGCAATAAAATGCTTTAAAGAGAAGCCACTCATCACTGCTCCTTTGCTCAGATAACAGAATTCATTTATACTCCACCAATGAAATGCCAAATATGTGCAAGTTGGTCTTTGAGTCAAGGAATGGATTAAAACAACTCTAAGATGCCAGTATCAGAATATTTAACTAGTGAAGGTATAGAATGATATAAATTAGTTGGGGTTATTTGGGGGGGGGAGGGGTGCTTATTTCGTTTTTTTTCTTCAAGAAAAATGTACTGGATATGGATGCTATTACCCAACGCAATCATACTGTATTTATTGACCTGCGAAGGTTGAAAGGCTGAAAATAGGTGGGATAAAAACCATCATAAAATCCAGCTATTCTGCAAGTTGAGAACTAACTACCGAGTTATTTTGCTGGATAGAGTTTGGCTTGCATGTCCTACAGAAACAGGTTTTTATTTTTTTTGGTTACCATATAAATATAAAGCCTGCAACCTCAGAGCTAATCTCAACTCTTAGAGCAGTAAATAGACTGATAAAGGAGAAAAAGAAGAAAGGGAGAAAACAATGCAAATGTACCTCAAATTCTTCCCAAAAGCCCTGCTTAAATTTATCTGCAGTCTCTGCTGGTTTGCTCAGTTCCTTTACCCGACTTTCAATTTCTGCAGCGTTAATACGTGTTGTATTCAAGGGCTGCCGTTAAGAAAGAAAGCAACATTAATTGATTATACCTATTTCCCATTGGTAGTGAAACAATGAGATGGCTATGACTTTTTTTTCTTTTTTCTGTCTCCTACCTGTTTCAGCTGTAATACTGTCCCAAGTGTCTCCACCATAGGGTTTTTCTTATAATGTTCCACAAGATCTGTCAGAGAGTCAAACTTCTCCCCCCCACCAACATCATATTTCAGATCCTGGAAAATGAGAAACTAAAGTTATGTTCCATGTAAACATGCAATTTAAAGTGATTACTGATAGAAAAATAAAAAGTTTAATAGAGACAGCACATAGAGCAAAGATAAAATAGCATGCTCTTTAAAAGATCCATGTCATGTTATTTTGACACTACATGTCATTGGGAAATGGAAAATTATGTCAATTGAAAGCTCATTACAATTCAGCCACACACTTGTTGTGCATTTGTTACACGTACATAAAACAAAGTAGTCTTTATTTTGTCTAGGAGTATCTTTTGACTGTATTGGAATTTCAGTGATATATAAATAAAAATCTATCTTCATGAAAACTATGACACGACAGGGCTGCTTCAAATTTATTTGCATTCACTATCCCAGAATTCCAAGTGGTATGTGCAAATAAGCACGGGCAGGATTGTAATTTTTCCCTTTTCAATTACCTAATGTTTACAATACAGTTTTGCGTGCAAGTGAGGATTTGACCAATGAAAAGCTGCAGAAAACAAATGGTTCAATTGAGAGCTCTTCAGTACAACACTGGCTTTTTTTCGCTGTTCTAAATTATTTTGACATTGGCAAGTATAAAAATTTTGATGAGAGCAAAGTGTGATAAAAAAGTAGTCCCCTAAGTAATTCTCAAACAGGTGTACAATATCTAGAAAATAGATTCTTATGTTATTGGTCTATTCAGACAGTAAACATGCTTTAAGGATATCCTGAAGAGACATTGAAGGGTTAACAGTCCCTCCAAATGTAATCTGAAACACATATTTATAAAATAACACCAAGGATATAAAGAACAGACAAACTGATGGATTACACACATAAAATAAATATATACTCAGGGCGGTAATGGTGACACATGGAATTTGGGAATCAGTCACAGAGCAGGTGCATCCAATCTTCATATAAATTGCAATTTATGTTATACTTATTTATTACCTGCCCACATCATGTTGTGCAGACAGAAATACAATTTATGTTTTCTGCAAACAATGACATTGAGTTTTGTTAATGTTGAAAATAAATGTGTTTATTTTATAATTCCTCAAGTAACCTCTTCACTACCAAAACGGGGTATACATTTTTACTTTTAGTTTGTACTGCAAAACAATAGTTTTAGTCTTGCTTGCCCTACTTTTTAACTCTAGAACTTTAGAGAAACAGATTTATCAGATTGTTTTCATTTTGTCCATAGACAGGAGTACAAAGTAACTGGACATCGCCCTCATCCTACAAAAAAAATTTGAATTACAAACTTTATTACAGTGTCAGGATGGCCGAGCGGTCTAAGGCGCCAGACTCAAGATCAACTTCTTCCACCATATAAGTGTTCTGGTTCAAATCCCACTTCTGACAGCTTTTTGAGGGTTCAGAGAAGGGCTACCAAACTGGTTCATGGATTGCGGGATAAAACTTACCAGGAAAGGTTGAAGGATCTTAACATGTATAGCTTGGAGGAAAGACGAGACAGGGGGGATATGATAGAAACATTTAAATATATAAAGGGAATCAACACAGTAAAGGAGGAGACTATATTTAAAAGAAGAAAAACTACCACAACAAGAGGACATAGTCTTAAATTAGAGGGACAAAGGTTTAAAAATAATATCAGGAAGTATTACTTTACTGAGAGGGTAGTGGATGCATGGAATAGCCTTCCAGCTGCAGTGGTAGAGGTTAACACAGTAAAGGAGTTTAAGCATGCGTGGGATAGGCATAAGGCTATCCTAACTATAAGATAAGGCCAAGGACTAATGAAAGTATTTATAAAATTGGTCAGACTAGATGGGCCGAATGGTTCTTATCTGCCGTCACATTCTATGTTTATTCACACATTTTAACAAATAGGGAGTGAGAAGAAGAGGGGGGTGTACTGTGCCAATCAGAATGGAATATGGATTCTTTGTAAAGGGCATCTTTAAAAACCCAGTACAATAGTTTAGCATGACTGTAAGGTACTACGGTATATAGGTATTTTACATTGTGCTGACATTTTATATGAAGCTGCATTGCTAAAAATGTCACCAGGTTAATTACCAATAACCATATTGCTGTCATGGCTGCTAGTGTGATCCAACACGCAGAAACTATGTAAACATATACATACAAAAGGAAAGGAAATAAAAGGACAGAGCGTAAACCGGACCTTAGAATGGCCGGACTAATATGCTAGAGATAGAGAATGGTCAAAGGGAAGGCTGAGGTCAAGGAAGCCAGAAATACTCAGATACCATTTAAACAAGCCAAGTCAGGGGAACCAGAATTCGGAATAACCAGGGAAAAGCAAAGATCAGGATACCAGGAAGTAATATTCACAAAGATAAACGCACTCTAGAGAACCAGGAACAGGAAACCACGACAGGGCAAGGTACTGGGGTGAATTAGGGATTTGAATATCCCTCTCTAGGCTCTGATTAGTCAGAGCGTGACCTCTGACCCCAGAACGTGCGCATGCGTTGACGTCGTTACGTCACGCGCACGTTCGTATAATTTTGGGGGGTGGAGCCATGGATGGACGCGACCTCATGGTCGGCGCCATCTTGGATTTCCCCGAGTGGTGTGGAGGAACGGTTCCCGGCTCGCCGCTGAGCAGGTAAGCTCAGTGAGTTGGTGCGGTCGTGCCGGTCGGGCACTGACGCACATGGCGGCGAGCCGGGGGCCGTGACAATTGCTTGCATGGTAATATTTCAGACCCGAAAACATTACCAAAAAAGGGATATCCTTTTATATGTATAATGATAGATAGATTTTTTTTTTTTTGCGTTTTTTTATTTTTATTTTTTTATAAACAAAATAACTTTCCTTAATATTTCTTTCATGGGTGAACGAATGACTTGAATATTAAAATTATACCATTTCCAATAATATACATTTTGTGAATACAGCAAACTATTTACAAAATTGCATTTTTTACTACAATGAGGTGCTAGCTGTGCATCAATCACATTTTCAAATAAATTATACACTAATATTTGTAATGCAAACAATGTTTGTTTGTTTTTTTATTTTGACAGAAAACTATTTACATGACTCAATAAAATGCAGATTTTGTAATTTATTTGTAATAACCTATACACTTACTGTCACAGTAAAGATATATTTTATATAAAAAAGAAGTTACTCAAAAGTTACCTCCGTCACTTACCTCTGCCACACAGCTTGTGTTAGAATGCACAGTTAAAGCCAATGACAGTCAACCAAATCTGACAAGTGGACAATAAATGGGAAAGACAGCCACTAGAGGTGGATTTAACTTTGCAATGTAAACTTTTCAGTTTTTTTTTAAAAAACTACAGTGTTTTACATTGCAAGGTTAAAAACTAGAACCAATTCATCCAAGTCACTTCATTGAAATGAAGTGGCCTGTGTTACTTTAGTAGTCCTTTAATACGCTTCAGGTGCCAGGGACAGCAACAGAAATCTAGGCTGTTGTTTTTTTTCCTACTCAAATACATGGGGCCAAAAAAAGATTGGTCATGAATTAACAATACAAGATTAAGCACATACAAATAAATAGGTTTACCTGGCATCGGATCATGACATGGGTCACTTTGGACTTGCCATCGTTGCTTTCTCCTTTGTCATCTCCCGTGCGTACAGATAGGACAAAGTCTCCAGGATGACTTTGGCTTTCCCGCACCAGGAAACTTCCATGCTTACCCTTTTCTGTTAGTAGCTTTTCAGCCTCTTTTCCAGAAAGATGCCCATGGAACCACCTGGAATGAAACAGATCAGTGGTAAAGTAGACTTTCAGATGTTGATGAACATGAGTGTGTGTCCCTTTATGTCTGGAGAGTATTCAAAAAACACCATGATCATTGCTGAAGAAAAGAACATCACTCACCTCTCAGACGTGGGATCTGCACAATTTAGTGGATATTTCAACTCAATAACATCCCCATTCTTTTCCTTAAGTTGCCCATGATGTTCCATGTAATACTGGACAAGTTCAGCCAGTGTAGCAAACTTCTCCCCTCCATACAAGTCATAGTAGTCTCCAGTGTTCTGGATCTTTATGTGAGTTACAGCTCCGTTTCGTCTGCAATAACAAAATAGGAAATATTCTTTTTTCACTCTCCAAAATCCAGCCAAGACACAGTACCCTTTTACTGCACAATGAAAGATTTTAAACAGCAAAATAAATGTGCCAAAACTGCAAATTTAGTGAGCTTTTCTTTTTCATATACACCCCCCCCCCCCTGCCCAAGAGAACATGCAAGTTACTTTGGAGGGGTTATCTATGAAACAGAGAAAAAACTGTTTTGTTCTTTTTCGATGGAGTGTACCTTTAACACACTATCCTCCAGCACTACTTTATTTTCCAGGCAGATATCTGCACCAGTGAAAAACTAAATTTGGTGCAGGAACTCTCCTGGCAGAAGATGCAGGTGTCATGGCCACCCACTATTTAGATATCTGCACTACTCTGACAGAGTCTGGTATAATTGTGATTTTGCAAGAAGCTGGATGCATTACAAAACATGCCTATGACAAAGCAAGTGAGAAATGAAATGTAAACAGGAATTTTAATTATTGGCAAAGCTTAACATTGCCACTTACGCACAAATCATTTGCTAGTGAAAATATAGTCCTGTCAGGTATAAATTCACCCATGCACCCTCCAAGATTACAGTGGCCAGGTCACTTTTGAGCCAATTGAGCAGTGTAGGACTTGAAATTTTGGAATGGGGATAAAATGTGTCTAAACTGGGTGAAACATAGCAAGTGAGAGGAATTATAGTATGGTGCTGCATGCGGTGTAAAGGGGCATGGATGTAGCATATGAATGTACCACACTGCGTCACAGCAATGTAATTTACAAAACATCAAGTTAAAAAAAGACAAACATAATAAAAAGGGCAGGATTTAAGGTACAAACCTCACTGAAAGTGTAAAATCCCCTGGGTTACTCTTACTGGGACGAGCCAAGAAACTCCCATCTACTCCACGTGTTAACAGGAGGTTTTCTGCTTCAACACCTGTGATATTTGGGTGGAACCATCTAAAAGGGAAGAAATTAAAGAACTATGAAAGGAAAGTAAGATTTCTACTTTTCAAACTATTTATCAACTTGGAAACATCATTGATGCATATTATATCCAATTCCATCACATGGACAATGTATACCTTTAAAAGAATAGCAATAAAAAAAAAAAAAAAAGTAAACTCACGGCTAAATGGACCTGGGTACAATTGCTGTAAATTTTCACCCAGCCTGGGTTACCCTAGAATCCACACTTAGCAGTTGCATAAATTAAAGAAGAATAACGCAAATGGTTGTTTCTTCAGTTCATGCTGCAATTAAACTTACACACCGGCAGAGTTGCCAATACAGCTCATAATCTTTTCAGGGTCCTGGTAAATCACCATGGTCCATTTGGAGCCCTTTAGCACCATGTGGTCCAGCTGACAAGATAGAACAATCTCCCCAAACCACACTGCCTTTAATGTGTACCAGCACTGTATGTTCTGTTGCACTGCAGTTCTGGGATAAGATAATGTGATTACATGTGACTTCCTCGTGGTACCAATAGAGCCGTGTGTGGGAGAGTAGAGACAGTGACCTGCAGCAGCCAGCTCCCATTAGAATCCAGGTAAGCCACTCAAGGAAAAGGGAATGTCTAAAAATATGTTTATAACAATTTATTTCTGTGTATGTCATTAAATAAGTATCAGTAAATAAGTTTGTGTCATTGTGCATCTGTGTGTGTGGGAAGCAATAGGTATTAGAGTGTGGCAGTGCCTGGGATTGTGTCTAGCAGTGTACAGCTGTATTGGAATTTTTGTCTGCATATGGCACTGTGCATGTGTGTTTCTCTGCTTGTTTTAAAATGAATACATGTAGCTGAGCATGTGTATCCGTAAGCATGTATCTGTATTAGTGTGTATGGGAGCGTGTATCTCTGTGCGTATGTCTAGGAATGTATCTGTTAGTTTGTATCTTTGTGCATGTGTTGGAGAGTCTGTTTCTTCCAGTTTGGAATACCTTCTTAGTTATGAAGAAATCTTTCAAATTTGCCTGTCACTGAAATTCCAACCAAGTCCAGAAATATACAGAAATAAAGTACAGACTCCTTTGCCTCTGTATTTCTCCTCCGCCTCAATTTCTTAGGTTCAGGGCGAAGTCTAAGTGTCAATCCCTCCAGTCATCAGTGACGGCTGCAGGGAATTGGCTGTGTCTAGGGAAGATCCCGTGAGGCCCTCCATGGACCTCAATGCTATACACTCACGCATGTGCGGGATGTAAGCAGTGACGTCGGAACAGACTGAACAAAATTGCTGTGTACACGGGGGACGATTCCAGTAAGTAAATCTCACTCTCACCATGTAAGACAGTGACAGTGTTGCTTTTGCAACATCATGATCTTAGATATTGCATTTAAACATGGTGTTTAATTTTTGGGGTAAGTAAACCTGTTTTTTTATTTATTTTTTGTTCTCTGCGCAGCATGTGAATTATTTTCTTATACCATACTTTCTCTATATACCTTTTTGCTCTTATCTGGATTTTAGTTTTAAATTACTATTGTTATAGAATTCATTTTTAGCTGAGAGATGGAGGCTATATTGTGTAATTACTCTGGATGTTTTACTTGTTGTGAGGACTATATTCTGTAGGATTCTATCGCCCTGTTCACTTTGTGATGACATTGCTATCCTTACTTTTATCTGCGGCCTTGTCGTGATGCTCGCTCCAGTCTCTATACATTTGTTAGTTAGAGTTGTGTGTTGTCTTGATAAATAAAAATAATAATTTCACCATGAAATAAGCAATAAAATTTATGCATAAAGGGGTATGGAATTCCTATCGCCCAATGCTGGGTACATGCAATGCAGTTCCGGGCGCAAGGCATCCTTTTTCCTGCCTTTAGCTCTGCCATCTGCAAGCGGCAGGGCTGCTACAAGAAACGTGGGGAATCAGAGGCAGGACAGAGAGCACCTATGGTGGGTGCGGACAATAGAAATCACTATTGAGTCAAAAGTGCAGGCTGGGAATGCCGCCGGTTGCGCGTTGAGCTGAACTGTAGCCTCCATCTCTGCATAGAGCTTTGCAAGAGGGGGGCAAATAGGGCAGAGATCACAAAAAAACATTGAATACAGCCAGCTACATCACATATATATATACACTCACGCACATTCCACATACAGACAGCAAACATCACACATACACACACTAAACACTGGGTAATTTTTAATCTTCCATCTCTTGCTGTAAGAAACCCAGTAAATTGCACAGCCACCTGCACTAACAATTAGCAAATAAGAATTTGTAAATTAGCCATTCCTAGTTAATCTAATATGACAGAGACAGAGTATGTGGTTTGTTCTGTAAATTCAAAATACAAATAAAACAAGTCCATTGACAACAGAGAATGCAAATCATATACAGTTTTTAGGCAATTATTAAAAATGAAAAACTCTGTTACATGAGAGTTTCTATACAGAATACAAGACAATAAGGCTTTTCCTCCATCTAGACTAGCAAATACGGATGATGACCTAGTTTTACACAAGGAGTCAGTTTTGTGCATTGCAGGGAGTCAATAATGCTGCATGAGGGACATTCTCTGCCTTTAAACAACTGCCTGCTTTGCTGAACGCTGAGGAAAAGCCCTTAAGCGGTCATTGAGGCTTCCTCAATAAACTTATAGTAAATGTCAACTTTCTGCACATTCTGTCCTGCGTTGCCCTTCTCCCAGCAAGCCAATAACGCTTTTTTCCAAAACTGTGTAAAATGAAATTAAACGGTCACATATTTTACAAATCACTGTTAACTGTTACAAATTGCTGTTAAACTTAAACAGAAATTCTGTCCTTTGTAACTAGTGGTCACAAAAGGGAAAGCATACAGAAACATGAGAAATTCAACAATGTATCTAATTCTCTTCATTTAGAATATAAGCCAGGGCTCGACAGATCCCAGGTCGCAATAACGACTAGAGATTTTGTCCTGGCACATACCATCAGCGGAGGCGGACAGTTGAGGGAGCAAGGAGGTGGCCTGCACTGGAGATCATTTGAGGCGGCCGGTAATAGGATAGAACACCGCAGAGGCAGGAAGCAGGCGGCGAGGGAGGAGTAATCTTCCTGCAGTTCATGCTCTGCTCCCCCATGTGCTGTTAAGTGATGCCGGAAGAAGGAATATCGTATCATAGAAACATAGAATGTGACGGCAGATAAGAACCATTCGGCCCATCTGGTCTGCCCTATTTTATAAATACTTTCATTAGTCCCTAGCCTTATCTTATACTTAGGATAGCCTTATGCCTATCCCACGCATGCTTAAACTCCTTTACTATGTTTAAGCATGTGTGGGATAGGCATAAGGCTATCCTAACTATATATTACTATTGTCCCGGCATCACTACAGAGGACATGCGAGGGAGCAGAGCATGAATTGCAGGAATATTAGAGACTAGCCCTACTGGACTAGGCAGCACAAAACCAGGATACACCACTGAGTAGGGGGTTAACATTATTATTAAGAGTATAGTATCTACCTTTAGAATTTAGATGCAGGTTATTCTCCATATTTATTTGAACTACACGTCAATGTTGCCTTTGTTCTAAACTCTAATCCTAACTCCTTTACCACTCGCTGCTTTATATTTAAACACCTGAGGGACTGCCTCGAAGCAGTAGGGGGGTAGCATATTATTATTAGTGGTATAGAATTTATCATTAGAATATAGAGGCAGGGAATGCCGCATACCTGTATTAACTACACTTCAATGTTGCCTTTGTTCTAAACTCTAATCCTAACTCCTTTACCACTCTCTGCTTTATATTTAAACACCTTAAGGACTGCCTCGAAGCAGTAGGGGGGTAGCATATTATTATTAGCAATATAGAATTTATCTTTAGAATATAGAGGCAGTGAATACTTCATACCTGTATTAACTACACTTCAATGTTGCCTTTTTTCTAAACTTTAATTCTTACTCCAATACTACTTCCTGTTTTGTATTCAAACATTGCTTTCATACCTAATGCTACCTTCAAGCAGTCTGTATACCCAGTTAATTGTCCCTTTTTGAAATTTAATGGGAGTTCTAGGTGGTATTTTCTAGTTTCACTGATTGAGCTTGATTACATAACATCACATTTTTGTAACATCTCATCAGTTATACTAGGTGGCTACAACTTCGATGCAGTGTATCTGTCTCATTCTCATTCTCTGGGAGGTTTAGTTAAAAGAGATGTATTCATATTCTCTCCTTCATCCGTTTGTTCCTAGTTTACTTCCAGTATAGGAATACTTTTAGTTTTTATAATACAGCTACACTCTATATATCTCTCTAAATCATATCTCATTACTCAATACGTATAGTCTACTAACCACAGAAGCTTTTTTGGTGGGTTGTTTATATAGGTTTTATTTCAATTAATAAAGTTTGCATTTTACCTTGATATAGTGGCTTCAATTAATGGTAATATCTTGGGAATTTCCCACTTTGTTGGGTCTTTCTCAAGTATCAGCCAAATTGGTCTTCTAAAACATATTCACTTTACTAGAGCTGCAGCTAAATCTACAAACATAGACGGACCTCAAGATATCTAAACCTTAAAGGGACATTATATTCATCAGAACCACAACAGCTTAATGTGGTGGTTCTGGTGTCTACAGCCTGTGCCTGCAGTGTTAGCACTGTAAACATTTACATTACTGGCTAGTTGCTGTCACTACTCTAGTTGCAGTTACTCAGACGGTCACTAGAGGTTCTTCCTAGTCCAGTGCTGTACAGTGTACAGCACCTAATGCTCCCCATAAAAAAATGCATCTCTATGAGGGGTTGATGATTAGAGTAATGCTTGTTTTGCCACGCCTGCGCAATAGCCTCCCAATCCTATGAGATCATCAAGATTGATGAAGAGGGAAAAAAGGTAAGTTTAATCACCTGGCATTGGCGCAGTCATTCCCCTTCCCTAGCTGAGATCTTATCGCCCACCATGATTATGCCATTGGGTGGCTACAGTGCAAGTGCAGCAAATCAACGTAAGGTGCTCCTTTCTAGGGGCAGTATTCGATTAAAAACCAAGTCTGACTTGCTTCTCATTAGAAGACAGCCACTAGAGGTGTGTTAAACTCTACAATGGAAACATTCCACTTTCTACAAAACTGCAATATCCTACAATGCAGGTTTAAAACGATGTGGCCACTGTGATGAAGTGATGTGGCTGCTTTTAGTGGTCTTTTAATTCAGACTCAAAAAATATATATTTTTTCTTTTAAATCCACCTTTACATTTAAAAAAAATAAAGTAAAACATGTATAAATCTTTCTAAGACATGTTTAGAACTAACATGGAGTGCATCTTTCACAAGATTCTTTCAATTTTAACTGAAAACTAGATTACACACAGAGATTCAACTGAAGAGCGGTTTTATGTTGTAATTGCATTATATTTGGCTCCCTCAAGTGGCAAAAAGTGAAATCATCAGGAAGACTGATTTTTGTAGGACCTAGAAATCGAAGTATTATTTATCAGTGCAGTCGCAACACTGAAGCAACTATTTTGCTGCTAGAATGTATGTTAACACTTCTCCACTGTTTTAGTGTAGACAAAAAAAACAAACATTATTTTTCATTCTATTAGCAATATCTATTCAAGTTACAGTTTTTGTTATCAAATGCCAGTATTTTCTAAATGTATGTTATCATCATCATAATTCTATCACAATCAAAAGCACCTCCTTATTATGATACCATACAACAATACAATGTTCCTAAGGGTCATACAGGGGTGGGGAAAATGTGTTTTAATAATACAAAAATGAAAGTTCCAACATGTTTTTCCCAGAAAACTTTGAGCACAACAATTTTACTGAAATTCCAACCCAGTCAAAATATACTACGACAGAGTAAGGACTTACTTTGTATTAGTATTTTTCATACTCTTGACAAAAGGCAGCGATAACATTTAACAAGCCCTCAGAAATCACCAATGACATTTGAGGGGAAAAGGGCTTTGTCCATGGAGGATCCTACGGTTTGCAGGAACCTCCATAGACTTCAGTGTTGTACTGTAGTGCATACATGAGAGTAGAACGCTGATGTCGGATCCTGGCAGCTCAAGAAGACAAGGAAGGAAGAAGATGGTGGCTACAAGGGCCTGGTTCAGATACTTTCCATCCACCCCTTAGCCGCTACAATGCCAGCTGAGTAGTCAGCACAGGGGGGAAAGTAGCAAATTATGCAAATACCGTAGATGGAGACAGAGCCACTTTAAAGAAATGATTTGGGAGCAAAGATATTGCCCCGGCAATTTTGTCGATGATGAAAACACTGGCATTTCTCAGAAATGCAATGATTTACATTTTACAATTTCAAAACTTGCTAGTGCCTGTCAGACATATACACTGAACAATATTATAAAAACACAACATTTTTGTTTTTGCCCCCATTTTTCATGAGCTGAACTCACAGATCTAAGACTTTTTCTATGTACACAAAAGGCCTATTTCTCTAAAATATTGTTTACCAATCTGTCTAAATCTGTGTTAGTGAGCACTTCTTCTTTGCTGAGATAATCCATCCACCTTACAGGTGTGACATATCAAGATGGTGATTAGACAGCATGATTATTGAACAGGTGTGCATTAGGCTGGCCACAATAAAAGGCCACTCTAAAATGAGGCATTTTACTGTATTGGGGAGGCCTGTGGGGTCTGAAAACTAGTCAGTATCTGGTGTGACCATTATTTGCAACACATCTCCTTTGCATAGGGTTGATCAGGTACTTGATTGTGGCCTGTGGAATGTTGGTCCACTCCTCTGCAATGGCTTTGCAAAGTTGCTGGATATTGGAAGGACCTGGAACACGCTGTCGTATACACCGATCCAGAGCATCCCAAACATGCTCAATGAGTGACATGTCCGGTGAGTGTGCTGGCCATGCAAGAACTGGGATGTTTTCAGCTTCCAAGAATTGTGTACAGATCCTTGCAACATGGGGCCGTGCATTATCATGCTGAAACATGAGGTGATGGTTGTGGATGAATGGCACAACAATGGGCTTCAGGATCTAATCACGCATCTCTGTGCATTCAAAATGCCATCAATAAAATGCACCTGTGTTCGTTGTCCATAATATACACCTGCCCATACCACAACCCCACCGCCACCATGGGCCACTCGATCCACAACGTTAACATCTGCAAATCGCTCACCCACATGCCGCCATACACACTGTCTGCCATCTGCCCTGTACAGTGAAAACCGGGAGAACACCTCTCCAAAGTACCAGATGCCATCGAATGTGAGAATTTGCCCACTCAAATCGGTTACGACGACGAACTGCAGGTCAGGTCGAGACCCCAATGAGGACGACGAGCATGCAGATGAGCTTCCCTGAGACAGTTTCTGACAGTTTGTGCAGAAATATAGAAACATAGAATGTGACGGCAGATAAGAACAATTCGGCCCATCTAGTCTGCCCAATTTTCTAAATACTTTCATTAGTCCCTAGCCTTATCTTATAGTTAGGATAGCCTTATGCCTATCCCACGCATGCTTAAACTCCTTTACTGTGTTAACCTCTACCACTTCAAATGGAAGGCTATTCCATGCATCCACTACCCTCTCAGTAAAGTAATACTTCCTGATATTATTTTTAAACCTTTGTCCCTCTAATTTAAGACTATGTCCTCTTGTTGTGGTAGTTTTTCTTCTTTTAAATATAGTCTCCTCCTTTACTGTGTTGATTCCCTTTATATATTTAAATGTTTCTATCATATCCCCCCTGTCTCGTCTTTCCTCCAAGCTATACATGTTAAGATCCTTTAACCTTTCCTGGTAAGTTTTATCCCGCAATCCATGAATCAGTTTAGTAGCCCTTCTCTGAACCCTCTCTAAGGTATCAATATCCTTCTGAAGATACGGTCTCCAGTACTGTGTACAATACTCCAAGTGAGGTCTCACCAGTGTTCTGTACAATGGCATGAGCAATTCCCTCTTTCTACTGCTAATACTTCTCCCTATACAACCAAGCATTCTGCTAGCATTTCCTGCTGCTCTATTACATTGTCTGCCTATGTAATAGAGCAGCAGGAAATGCAAACAGAATGCTTGGTTAAGCAAACCGATTGTTGCAGCAGCTGTCCGGGTGGCTGGTCTCAGACAATCTTGGATGTGAAGATGCTGATGTTTAGATCCTGGGCTGGTGTGGTTACATGTGTTCGGCAGTTGTGAAGCCGGTTGGATGTACTGCCATATTCTCTGAAACGCCTTTGGAGACAGGTTATGGTAGCGAAATTATCATTCAATTCATGGGCAACAGCTCCGGTGGACATTCCTGCAGTCAGCTTGCCAATTGCACGCTCCCTCAAAACTTGCAACATCTATGGCATTGTGCTGTGTGATAAAACTGTACATTTTAGAGTGGCCTTTTATTGTGGCCAGCCTAAGGCACACCTTTGCAATAATCATGTTGTCCAATCAGCAACTTGATATGCCACACCTGTGAGGTGGATGGATTATCTCTGCAAAGAAGTGCTCACTAACACAGATTTAGACAGATTTGGGAACAATATTTGAGAGAAAAAAGCCTGTTGTGTACATAGAAAAAGTCTTAAATCTTTGAGTTCAGCTCATGAAAAATTGGAGCAAAAAGAAAAGTGTTGCATTTCTAATTTTGTCCAGTGTAGTTGCTAGGGACTTTGGAGTAACAGATTCTATAATTAAATGTATTTTCAAAAAATATGGATGCAGTAATACATTAATTTGTGGAAATAAATTAAATCCTGCATGAAAGATTCTGGATGCAAAATTGTTCTCTATGAGTAAGCACTGAATACAATGCTTCCATACAAAAGCACTGGTTTGGTGGATTAACGCGCTGTATGATTGCAATTTGACAGCAGAAATGTATCCATCAACTGCACTGTCAATGATTAGGCCTAATGAGGGTGAAATGCATAAGACTGACTTCTGTATAGTTGCTTGCTGGGCCAGGTTGCTATAAAGGAAGGTGGAATATAAAAAAAATACATGAGTGCCCAGGGCATAAATTTAGCTAACATCATGTCCCAAAATTTTGACATCAAATAATATTAATTATTGCGCATGTGCAGCACAACACCACGCTGCGCCAATCAGCATTTCCTAACAGAGATAAGGTGAATCAATGCATCTCTATGGGGAACATACAGCGCCTGCATGCAAAGTGTGAAGACGCTGAACACGAGTGCTGCACTGACACAATAGTCACCTTTAGAGGCCGTCTGAGTGACTGCCACTAGAAGTGTAACTACGCAGCAATGTACACATTGCCTTTTTTCTGAAAAGGCAGAGTTTACATTAAAAAGCCTGCAGGGATAGGCTATTGACACCAGAACCACTACATTAAGATGGTGTTGCCTTGTCGGTCCTGCATTATGATGTTATGTCCTAAATCTTTAATATAAATTGAAACGAAAAAAAAAAAAAAAAAGGTTTAACCAAGTTATAGGTGATATTCAATGCTTTGATCAATGGTGTGTTTTCCAGGGAAGCAACAGTTTCCCCTTAAGAACATTAAATGTATGGTGTTAGTTTCCAAATGATCAAAACACCTACATAGATAAATTACATTTTTTTTTTTTAATCAGCATTTAATTCAGAAACAGTATTGAATATACACATATACACAGAGCATATGTCACACATCGTCAAACACTAAATCTGTCAGAATTCTCTCAAGGAAACACTTTTGTACATAAAACCTACGGTAAATACAGCTTGCATTCTGCATATGCAATTAACACAACCCAAAACGTGTCCTTTAATAGGAATAGAAAAGGAGAAAATAAAAATGTAAGATTAATAAATATAAAAATTGATAAAAGCACCTTCAAGGTTTTATAATGCAAAATTATTTTATTCGCTTTTACAATATAATTTGTCACATAAAACTTTGTGCAGATGTGCCATATGCAGGAAGCCACTACGTTTTTCTTGCTGGCAAACTCAGGCACGTAAAATTACAAGAATCTGAAAAATAAAATGTTTTGTCTAGTATTACATTTTATGTCAGGAATGTTTTGTGTGGAGTATTTGCCACCTGTGCCCGAAGCAGTTGTCCTTAGATCTAGTCCCATTTTCTCTAAAAAAATACAACTGTTTTAATGTTATCTTATGACAATTATTGATCTGGACCCCACCTAACTATCCCTAGGTTTCCACAATTATAGCCAAAAGTGTATAATTATAATACAATGTACCAACTCTGCCAGCATATAAGCCATTTTAAAGGACCACTATAGTGACAGGAAAACAAACTCATTTTCCTGGCACTGTAGTATTAATAGGTCCACCCACCCTCATGGCCCCCCTCCCGCCGGGCTGAACGGGGACGAAGGGGTTAAAATCTTACCTTTCTCCAGCGCCAGGCTCCTTCAGACGTCATCGGCTGAATGCGCAAGCGCGGCAAGAGCCACGCGCGCAGTCAGTCCATAGGAAACCATTCTCAATGCTTTCCTATAGACGCTGGCGTCTTCTCACTGTGAAAATCACAGTGAGAAGCGCGGAAGCACCTCTAGTGGCTGTCAATGAGACAGCCACTAGAGGCTGGATTAAACCTAATGTAAACATAGCAGTTTCTCTGAAACTGCTATGTTTACAGCAGGCAGGGTTAACCCTAGATGGACCATTAAGCTGAAGTGGTCTGGGGGCCTATAGTGGTCCTTTAAGCATAAAAAAACAATTCCCAAAAACTGGGGGTTGACAAATAAGTTGAACATAAAGTTTTTATATATGTCAGAGAAACAAATTAGGCCTTGGCCTAAGGCTTTATTGATACACAATGTTTTCACATTTTTAATACCTCGCTATCATGTCCAACATTTTTTCTAAAGAAACAATATTTCTGGAGTGCTTATCATTGTTGTTATCCCTCGATTGAGTACGCTTATTTATTCTTTATATAGAAATTTCTGCTTGCAGTATCATATCATTCATATGTAGAAACAGCTGGCTTGCTGGAGAGAAACATACCGTTGTGCACATACGTGCCATCTGTCAGAAAATAAGTAAACTACATGCTAATGTTTTCTTTGTTTATGTTTTAATTCTGACCATCTTATAAATTGTATAATACCATAGCCTAACATGTAACAGAATACAGTAAGTAAATCAACATGTATTCTCCTTAGAGAATACTCTCCCTTATATTCTTTACTTTCACTCTCACCTCTCTAATTAGCAAAATCTCTTTATCCCTCTGGTCACACCATTTTCATTGCTCCCACTTTACTTCCTTTCCCTCTCTTTTCATCCCATGCACTCTACCTATATCTTTCTAGTCTATCTCCACCAACCCTTTCTAAAACCTCTAAATACACACCCTCTCACAAAACTTTTAAACCGTACTCCCACCTTGTATTACGCTCTATCCTTCTGCTCCTAGCAGCTGGTGATGTCTCTCCAAATCCCGGTCCCACCTCTGCAAACCCACCATGTGCTAACTCCAGGAATCACAATAATCTTATGCCCTTTGGAATGCACGCTCTGCTTGCAGTGTTACTAAATCTACTGCTGTGCACAACCTTTTCATCTCTCGTTCCCTAGACTTACTAGCCTTAAAGGACCACTATAGTGCCAGGAAACATACTCGTTTTCCTGTCACTATAGTGCCCTGAGGGTGCCCCCACCCTCAGGGCTCTAGGGTGAGGAAGGGGTTAAACTTATCTCTTTCTCCAGCACCGGGCGGGGAGCTCTCCTCCTCGGCTGAATGCGCATGCACGGCAAGAGCCGCGCGCACATTCAGCCAGTCTCATAGGAAAGCATTCACAGCACATTCCTATGGACACTGGCGTCTTCTCACTGTGAAAATCACAGTGAGAAACACGCAAGCGCCTCTAGCGGCTGTCAATGAGACAGCCACTAGAGGCTGGATTAACCCAAATGAAACTGCTATGTTTATAGAAAAAGGGGTTAACCCTAGCTGGACCTGGCACCCAGACCACTTCATTAAGCTGAAGTGGTCTGGGTGCCTATAGTGGTCCTTTAACTGAAACATGGCTCTCTCCCTCTGACACCGCTACCCCTGCCTCTCAACCCTTTGGTGGTCATCAATTTTCCCACAACTTAAGACACTCTGAAAGCAAAGGTGATGGTGTAGGGTTTCTGCTATCACCTCACTGCTCTTTTAAACCTCTAACCCCCCCCCCCTTTCTTTCTCCTCATTTGAATTTAATTCAATCCGCCTTTTCAAACCCATTTCTGCTAACATTGCCGTTACCTATCATCCCCCTGGTTTCCCTCTCCTCTTCCTTGACCACTTTGCTGATTGGCTTTCCTACTTACTCTCTTCTAATATTCCATCCCTAATTCTTGGGGACTTCAACATTCCCATTAACCTATCCTTGTCCTCAGTAGCCTCAAAACTCCTTCAATTTCCACCTCTCTTGGGTTATCACAGTGGGCCAAGTCCCCCACCCATGTAGTTGATCTTATTTTCTCTCATGAATGTACAATCTCTAATCTCTGTAACACTCCATTTCCTCTCTCAGATCACCACCTCTTATCATTTGCACTCAATAGCCCCTTACCCCATCATCCTCAACCTAACCCCCTTCAACTAAAAAGAAATCTGAATTATATTGACCTCCAGCGGCTATTAGCTAATATTGATTCCCAACTTCTATCCATCCCCACTTTCTCCTGTCCCTCACTAGCTATCTCCTCATATAAAACCACCCTCACCTCTGCCCTGGAAGCTGCAGCCCCACTCCAAACATGCACCTTGAGGAGAACACACCCTTCCCCTTTCCTCTCGACCCACCACTTGCTTGCTTGATCCTGTCCCATCTTACCTTATCAGATCTCTCTCCTCTTGTCTTGTGCCTTCCTTAACACACATCTTCAACTGCTTTTTCTCTTCTGGTGTTGTCCCTGCTATTGTAGTACCCTATCTTTAAAAAAAAAAAAACCTCTCTTGACCCGTCCTCCCCTTCTAACTATCGTCCCATATCTCTGCTCTCTTTTTCATCAAATCTTCTGGAAAGACTTGCCTTTAATTCAAACCTTTTCCTTGACCCTCTTCAGTCTGGTTTCCGCCCCCTCCACTCTACTGAGACTGCTCTTATTAAAGTCATTAACGACCTAATCGCAGATAAATCCAAAGGGCACTACTCTATACTAATTCTTCTTGACCTCTCTGCTGCCTTTGACACTGTTGACCATGTTCTCCTTCTCCAAACTCTTAAATCACTCGGTCTCTGTGACATTGTCCTCTCTTGGTGTTTTCATATCTCTCCCAATGCTCATTCAGTGTCTCATTTTCTAATGATACCTCCTCCCTTTGTCCTGTTTCTGTTGGAGTCCCCCAACGCGCCGTACTTGGTCCCCTTCTATTTTCTCTTTCTACAGCCTCTCTTGGCAAACTTATTAGCTCAATTGGATTCCAATACCACCTGTACGCCGATGAGACTAAGATATACCGCTCCTCCCCGGACCTCTTCCCTGTTGTCCTGCACCGTGTCACTGCTTGCCTTTCTTCCATTTCTGATGGGATGTCCTCCCACTTTTTGAAACTCAATCTCTCTAAAACTGAACTCCTTGTCTTTACTCCTCCTAATACCGATCCCTCTCTTTCGTTCTCCCTTCAAGGGAGTGGTACCCAAATCAGTCCATCCTTGCAAGCACACGGTCTTGGCGTTATACTTGATTCTGGCCTCACATCCAGTCTATTACCAAATCCTGTATTCCACCTTAAAACATAGCCCGCATCCGCCACTTTCTTACACAAGATGCTACTAAGGATCTTATCCGTGCTCTAGTAATCTCCTGCATGGATTATTGTAACCCTCTCCAAATAGGTCTTTCCACAAGTTGTATTACCCCACTACAGTCTGTAATGAATGCTGCAGCTAGACTGATTTTCCTCTCCTGCCGCTCCTCTCACACCTCTCCCCTCTGTCAGTCCTTATATTGGCTTTCTGTATCCTACAGGAGTCAATTCAAGGTACTAATCCACACCTATAAAGCACTGACCAATTCTAGCCCCTCCTATATTTCTTTAATGATCGACAGGTATACACCTTCTTGGTCTCTCCGTTCTGCCCATGACCTTCTCCTGCCTGCTGCTCGCACCCGTACAGCCAACTCACGCTTGCAGGACTTCTTGCAGGTGGCTCCTTTCCTTTGGAATAGCCTGCCTACCACCCTCAAGCTCTCCCCTAATCTTTAATCATTTAAAAAGTGCCTCAAAACCCATCTCTTTAGGAAAGCTTATGGCCTCCCAGAGTTACCTCTACCTCACATACCTGTCTCTTGCTCTCTTCTAAAGGGCAGCACTCTATTCTCTCCTCCAGCTCTGCTTCACTACACCTTGTTTGGTTGCAACCTCCTGTCCTGTTGGGTTTTACACCCCACCTCCTATAGACTGTAAGCTCATTTGAGCAGGGCCCTCTTCAACCTATTGTTCATGTAAGCTTTTGTAATGGTCTCATTTATTGTTAAATCTCCCCCTTTGATAATATTGTAAAGCACTACGGAATATACTGGCGCTATATAAATACCAGTAATAATAATAATTTATAAATGTGTATGAAACATTACTATTTGTTGACTTACTGCTCAGTTACTAGCTTGCTAGCATGTGCAGAAGCATCTTGTGTGTGATTAAAGTTTGATTAACAGAGCAAGAGAATGCAGTCATGTTTCTTTGTACTACTGTAATTTTACTTTCGTATAACAGCATTACTATGTATCTGTATTCTTTTGCATCATTATAAATAAACTTCAATCAATCAAAAGAGAAAAACAGAGCATGTCTTACTACATATTTGTATTCTGCTGCTATTCTTGAGTACAATGTATACATTTTTTCCCTAATACTGTCCATAACCCAATCCTTAAAGGACCACTATAGGTACCCAGACCACTTCAGCTTAATGAAGTGCTCTGGGGGCCAGGTCCAGCTAGGTTTAACCCTTTTTGCAGTAAACATACCAGTTTCAGAGAAACTGCTATGTTTACCTATGGGTTAATCCAGCTTCTAGTGGCTGTCTCATTGACAGCCACTAGAGACGCTTCCGCGCTTCTCACTGTGATTTTCACAGTGAGAAGACGCCAGCGTCCATAAGAAAGCATTGATAACGCTTTCCTATGAGACTGGCTGAATGCGCGCGGCTGTTGCCGCGCATGCGCATTCAGCCAGTGACGTCAGAAGAGGGAGGAGAGTCCCAGCGCCGAGGGAGCCCGGAAAAAAGGTAAGGGATTAACCCCTTCCTCCCCCTTCAGCGCCACAGCAGTATGTTTTCCTGGCACTATAGTGGTCCTTTAATGCAGGACTTGACAAATGTGCTTCGACTCTAGGAGCCAGATAAAAAAGTTAGAAATCAGGTTTTTCAAAGTCAAAAATATAATACTTAAAGAGACACTATAGTCACCAGAACCAATACAGCTTAATGTAGTTGTTCTGGTGTCTATAGTCTGTCCCTGCACACTTTTCAATGTAAACACTGCATTTTTTTTAGAGAAAATATGGTGTTTACATGGCTGCGTAGTAACAGTTGTAGTGACAGTCAATCAGACAGCCATTAGAGGTGTGTCCTGGGGCTGTGCACCGTGTGTAGCACTTACATTCAGCATCTCCACGCTCGCATGGAGACACTTAATGCTCCCCACCGAGATGCAAAGCTTCAATTCATCTCTATAATGAGATTTTGATAGGTGCAGGATGCCATTTTGCCAAACATGCGCAGTAACCTCCCAATGCTTTCCATCGTCAAGATCGATTATATCAAATATGGAGGTGGAGCTAGCTGCGGCGAGACCAGCAAATTGTGTAAAAACACCTTTCACATGTGATTGGAGGGGTCGGTCACCTAAGCAGACACATTCACTGACAAACACACAGACAGACACACACACTCACTGATTTTTTTGACACACACTTTAAGACACAAACTCAGTAACAGGCACACACATGTTGAAAAATAAACATTGACAGACACACACTCAGACATTTTCTCACACACTCAAGTTTTTAATTTGTATTTTAATGTGTCTACCCAGCCTCCCAACCTCTGGGAGAGCTGGATTGGATCGGCTTTCCCTGAGGTCCAGTGAGGCTGCTGTCATCTTCCTGCTCTGCTCCCTTACACGCTGTTTAGTGAGGCTGGGGCCAAAGTGAAGTCATATGCCGGCTCCCAACATCACTGGAAAGTGTGTGGGGGAAGAGAGCAGGAAGATTACAGTTCCCCTGCTGCCTCAGCTCTCCTTTAGCCGACCACCCACCTATGCTCTGTATGAGCCAGTTGGACACCTGCATTCTCTCTCAGTCAGCCAGCCATGTCAAGGGGGATGAATGGGCTGACAAAACCCAGGATCCGGGACAAAAGCCCTAATCGCCCCATGACTTGGGATTTTTCAGCCCCCAGGAGGCCGGCTGAGAGAGTATGAAAACACCCCAGTGATCTCCCAGACACTGGAGGGCACTGTACCTGGGTTTCCCTTTTTTAACATTGGAGGCTGGGGACAGTGAAAGAAATAATGCAGCTGAGCAAGATCGCTCTGCTGCAGTATTTAAAGAGTTATAAGCAGCAGCGCTCACTTTGAGCTCTGCTTATAGCTCATCTGGGGCCACTAACTGGCCCAACTGACAGAGGGGACCCCCAGATATCAAAAGATTTTAACCCCCACTAGTACATTTAGAGCATGTCGGTCTATGCCTTCACTGAGCACTAAAGCTCTGCTTGACTGCATGTGGCATGAGGTCCTTAAGTGGTTAAATGACAGGAAATTGAGCAGTGACACTGCAGGGGCATGGTCTATACACCAAAAACACTTCATTACCCTAAATTTTTTTGATGCTTAGTGTCCCTTTAAATGTTGACAGACCCACATTCAGATAAACATTTAACAGCTTTAAGACTTCATTTTCAATGTGTGTCACTTTCCATGATTAAGTTAACATCCTCAGTTACAAGGTTCACCATACTTAACTTTCCATTGTTGTACTAAACAAGAATTTTCTTTTGTAATTCAAGATTAGGTTAATATGTTTCCATACTAAAGAGGATCTTTTTAATACATATGTAATTTGAAAGGAAAGAGGAAAAACCCTGTAGAATTTATTTAGAAACATAATGCAAGAGGCTGATGTAGTAGGTTTATGTATGATAAGAAAAATAGAGTGTAGTTTAAAGAGACACTTCGGAACTCTAAAGAACTTTAGCATGCTGTGTGAAGAATGTGTCCTCTTTTCATTTTACAAAAGTGCAGACTTCAATAGAAACTGGTGCTAGAGACTCTTAAAAATTAACCTTGTTACAGCCACCTGTCTTACAAGCAGAAAAAAAAGCCCTGTTACTTCCTGGTTTGGTTAGCTCAGTGGAGCTTAACTCAAGAGTCAGCAATTGCTCAGAACACCTACCTTGCAAAGAGTTCTCATAGAGCTGTTTTGGGAAGTCTGTCATTGGACAGCCAAAGAAAGTCTGAGCTAGGTTACAAATCAACAAGAAAACTGTAGCTTTTGCAAGCTATTTTTAGATATTCCCCCAATGAAAAAAAAATGCATAATAAGTGCGTTCATGTTTTCATTGGGATTTATCCACTAAACAATAATTTGTATTTATTTTTTATTTGGGCAGTGGAGTGTCCCTCCAAATGCTTTGTGAGAAGTCATAGTATATCAGGATAGCCCTGGCAAATCATGTGACATAAAGCTTAAATAACTATGCTGGAGTATATAATTAGATATCCTCAACAATCTATGTAGTTAAAATGAGGATAGCTTCATTCTAATCAGTATTGCAGAAAGCTGAACTTTTAGGTTTTATTGACTAAAGTGGGAACTGTCCGGAATTCAAATTTTAAGCCACTTTAGCTTAAATTTGAAATATTCTCCACGTAGGTTATGTATCAGTTCAGCTATTCTTGACTAAAAAAAACCAAAACAAACAAAAACAACTTTAAATACGGTGTAACCGTAGACAATTGAAACTTTAGCAAACAATACAATTAGCAACAAAGAAAAGTGCCTTTTTTTCCACATCTACACTTAAACATAACCTGCAGACAACAGAAATTTAAAAATTGCAATGTTCCAATGTAAATAGCCAAACTGTTCAAGTTGTGCTTAGAACTGATATGAAGACGGTTTCCAAGTCAGCCCTTTCTGCCTTTATTTTGCCATTAACTCCATTCACACCAATTCGCAGTTTTGTGAATAATGCCTTAAATCCTATTAAATAAAGGTTCCCCTAGATGTGAGGAGGACCTGTGATAGCAGTAATCATTGTGGTGTATGTGGGGTATTAGGGGGTTAGATGGGGGGGGTTACTGGCTCTCTCTGCCTCACCTCCTGGATGTCATTGTATGTGGTGTATGGGGGGTAATAGGAGGTTAGATTGGGGGTTACTAGCTCTCTCTGGCTCACCTCCTGGATGTCATTGTATGTGCTGTATGGGGGGTATTAGGGGGTTAGATGGGGGGGTTACTAGCTCACCTCCTGGATGTCATTGTATGTGGTGTATGGGGGGTAATAGGAGGTTAGATGGGGGGCTACTAGCTCACCCCCTGGATGTCATTGTATGTGCTGTATGGGGGGTAATAGGGGGTAAGATGAGGGGTTACTAGCTCACCTCCTGGATGTCATTGTATGTGCTGTATGGGGGGTATTAGGGGGTTAGATGGGGGGTTACTAGCTCACCTCCTGGATGTCATTGTATGTGGTGTATGGGGGTAATAGGGGGTTACTGGCTCACCTCCTGGATGTCATTATATGTGCTGTATGGGGGGTATTAGGGGGTTAGATGGGGGGTTACTAGCTCACCTCCTGGATGTCATTATATGTGCTGTATGGGGGTATTAGGGGGTTACTAGCTCACCTCCTGGATGTCATTGTATGGGCTGTATGGGGGTAATAGGGGGTTACTAGCTCACCTCCTGGATGTCATTGTATGGGCTGTATGGGGGTAATAGGGGGTTACTAGCTCACCTCCTGGATGTCATTGTATGGGCTCGGCTCCCGGCTCTGTCCTCCTCCTCCTCCCTGTCCTGCCGATTCCTCTCTGCCTCCTGGACCCTCCAGCAGTGACCGTCTCCGGCCGCCCTCTATAGTGTCTGTGCCGGCCGGTGTGTCCGCTCCACTCAGTGTTTTAGCTCGGGGGGGGGGTAAGGACCATAGAGGCCTCCAGCAGGATCAGCAGCAGCACCACCCGGGCGGCCGCCGATTACGTCATCACAGAGCGCCGCTAGGAAGAGAAAGGGGAGCTCCCCGGGAATTATTATTATTATTATTTTACGAAAAAACTGAGAGATTGTGTCGTGGTTTCCTAGGAGACATGTCAGCGAGTCCGGGGCGAACTATCGCTACCCGCAGCACCTATACCACACAACTAATACATTTACACAGGCCTGGGGGGCAACATGGCGTCACTTCCGGTTTAGGCTGTGCCCCGGGTTCTCTTTATTTTTATTTAGTTTTTTTAATTCTGGTCCTGTTTCCTGAACTAGCGGTCACGGCGGACTGTAACGGCGCTCTTGTTGTGACAGAAATACCAGGCCCGTGGCTTGTATTGCTATTCGAATAGAATGCCCCCCCCCCCACAGGACTACAACTCCCGGCAGCCATTTCGGCGGATGTGACGTAGCATGCCGGTTTTTATACCTGCGTTCCCCGGATGTAGTTCCTTTTTCCTTACGGCAGAGGTAGGCATGGCGGACATTTCTGGCCGGGGATCCAGGGTCTGAGTTGAATCCGCTGTAATCCTTGCTCTGTATGCCGAGCTCGGGCCTGCCGTGTGCCCGGCTTCGTGCTGGACTTTACCCGCTGTCGGATTGTCTTGATATTGCGGAGTTAGTCCCGAGGGCTGGCGGTTTATCCGAGTCTTGTGTTAGTGGGGCCCAGGCCGCCGCGGCCATTGACTGCTCTGTGTCCCGCTAGACTGGCAGGTGGCTTGAAGCAGGGCTGCGGTATCGGCATTGAAAGCTAACTTCTCTCTGCACACAGGAGGGAGCTTGCTCTGACTGTAGAACGTTTTGTTTGTTTTATTTAATAAATATCGTCTATTGACAGCGCCATGTACACCTAAAGTCTGTGCTGCCATTAAAGCGTGTGCAGCTCTCAGACTGACACTCATGCAGCACAGGTGCTGTGTAACGGGAAGACTGTGGAATCTAGTCACTGTCACTCTTAACTATCAGTAAAGTTGCTGGTTTATTTGAAACGTTTGAGTCTTTCTGTGAGGAAACCTAACTTTTATCTGTGTATTTAACCTGATCTGTTTTTGTAGTTCACTTTCTGAGGATGTGTGCCTGCTCTTGCACTTAAACTGTAATGTTTCAAAAGTATTATGCATTGTTTAGTGTTTTGACTTTATTTTTATTGTCCTGGGTAACTGTAGATGGCAGGAGAGGAGGCTGTGAAGAAAGTCAACAGGCACCATGCCAGCCGGAATCCGGTGCTGGTACGCGGAATTGGGAAGTATTCCCGTTCTGTCATGTATGCCAGGAAAGCCCTCTACAAGCGCAAGTACAAGGCCCCAGAAACAAAGGTAACTTATTTTTGTATAGGCAAGTTCTTGTGTTATAATGTTGGTGATTGCATGTTTTGTTGGTTTTTTTTTTCCTGATCTCTGTTTGCTTTACGCAGATTGAAAAGAAGAAAAAGGAGAAGGCTCCAGCCACTGTAAAAAAGACAGTTGGCGGTGATAAGAATGGTGGCACACGTGTGACCAAGCTCCGCAAAATGGTAAGCAATGCACACCAAACCAATTTTATGGGTTTATTGTATAACAAAAAATTGGCATAATTATGGTCCTGAGAGTTTCTATTTAATCATTATGTAAGGTAACTTCAAATGGGGTTTGAGCTTCATTTTCCGTAGCCGTTGTTTTAAATGACTGTTGTTGTGATTTGGTATACCTCTTAAGGTTACTCTGTTAATGAGACGCAACGCAAAGATTATATTGAAGAGCATTTTTTTATAGAAAGTTTCTTGACTGTATGTGTTAAACTTCTTTTCGCAGCCCCGTTACTATCCAACTGAAGATGTTCCACGCAAACTTCTGAGCCACGGAAAGAAACCTTTCAGTAAACACAAGCGCAATCTGCGCTCTTCAATTACTCCTGGGACTGTGCTTATCCTTCTAAACGGACGTCACAGAGGAAAGGTATAGTGTGATGGGGTTCACAAAGCCTAACGTGCAATAAAATGCATCTTCTTTCTAGCAGTGTCACATTTTAATGTAAATTCATTTTCACAAGAAATGCAGTGGTGCATGCATGAGATACTGATTTAAAAATAAAATAAATTATAATTGCCATACTGCAGGAGTTGATGTGGCTTATAGTTAGAATTCTGCAAGACTTGAATAAAGCTGGTTTGTATGTTTGCGTTTTACGTCTCTTGTGGCAAAATACTTGCCTAGACGGAGTGTAGAAATCTGCATACCATCTGTCATTAAAGGATTTCTCTAAGAATCATGAAAGCTCCAGTGGTATAAAGTGGTCATGGTGCCTGGAGACTTTATGTGCAGCGTTTCTAGTGGGAATTCAGTGTATTTCAAATTTAAGGCCAGAGTAGAATTGAAAGCATGGCTATTCTGACCATAAATCTAATTTGACTGAGAAACTCTGGAGTTTAATCTCTCTGCTGCCAGATGTGTAACTCCAACTCCAGAAACGTAATAAGGGTGTCACGAGGCAGCCTGGTTAATGTCAATATTGTGCTAATTCCATTGCACACAATGAGCCGCTGGCTTTATCAAACGATGAATGTTGAACACCATGGGGCATTCCTGGCATCATAACCACTTCGGCAGGCTGTGGTGTTTGTGTAGTTTGGAGTAACCTTTTAAGTGGTTAATACTTCCGGTGATCCAGTAAAAATTATGTACCAATGTCTTTTGTATAGAGTTTGGTTTTCTTCTTTTCCAATACAGAAGTTTAGGAATGGTTATTAAAGGAAAGTAGATTTGTCCTTAAGTAAATCTGTAAAGTAATGTATCTTAAAACTGTTTCTTAATTTGCAGCGTGTGGTCTTCCTGAAACAGCTTCCATCTGGCCTTTTGCTGGTAACAGGTAAGTTATGAGAATTTGAAAGGTTAATGAAACTATCAGTTTGTCTGACTAGTAAGTGCAGAGTTTGAAACTAAGCCATGGATTTTAAAGGATTCATAGCTACTGGATTACTATCTCTCCCATCCAATGGGCATTCTAGGAATTAAACAATTCGACATCACCTAATAGTTGTGACACTTACAGTACCATTTATGGTAGTCTATGAAGCCCTAACAAATAAGGGAAAGTAACTTGTTAATGTATGGTTAGTGCAATGTATAGATTACATATTATGACTTGGAAACTGGCATATTTGTTATGAAAGGTGAATTTTGATTTCAAATAAAGTATTTTCAGATTTGCTTGAATAAGGAGAGTACAAAAATTAATCCCAGTTAATGTCTTGGTTTTGTGTGGTATTTTTTAGTTGTGATTCTAACACACATTTGCATTGCCATAATGAGAGTAACTGATTTGTCAGCATGTAAACCTTTGATTTGCACTTTCTACCTCTAGAGAACAAATTAAAGAGCTGTGGATTTAAAGTTTGAAATTTAGTAAGGCAATACATTCTAATGTAAGCTTTCTTTTCACCATTAACTTAGGACCACTGGCTGTCAACAGAGTGCCTCTGCGTAGGGCTCACCAAAAGTTTGTAATTGCCACTTCCACCAAAGTTGATATCTCAACTGTTAAGATTCCAAAGCATCTGAATGATACATACTTCAAGAAGAAGAGGCTGCGCAGACCCAAGCACCAGGAGGGAGAGATTTTTGACACAGAGAAGGAAGTAAGTCATTATCACAAATTTTATTTGCCTGTTATTCAAGCAAAGTCTGGGTTAATTCACTTTATTTTCTTAGTTTCTATTTTCACAGTATCCAAATTTGACATCAAACTAGCTTTATTTGGAGGGAGTGGATGACTCAGCTACACTTCAAATTTTGTATATTTAGGTTAATGTTTCAGATTCACACTTTAGCGAATTGCCAAGAAAATATTTTACAAAAATTCACAATGTCTGCTTTTGAGACTTGGTACTGTATTTTTGCCTTTTGTAAATGTAATCACAAGTATACATTTTAATTGTGTGCATATTCAGTTACTGTTCTAAATTTTAGAAATGAACACTTCCATCTCACTAAATTTTATTGAAACATTGCGTTGGAAACCTAGTACTTGGTTGCTTATATAGAAAAACTCTGATCTTCTCAAATCTTATGTTCTCATTTTTAAACAAATCTAGATAGTGGCTTGGGTCCATGGCACCCCTAATTGTAGGCTAGTCTTTGAGCACCTTGTTAGCCAGAAATCTCATTGAACCATTTTAAAGAAAGATTTGATAGTGCCTCATCAATTCAAACCACTTTTTAGTTTTCTCATAATGGATAATTTGGGGCAAAATGGCTACTTTAGGGTGCATTGGGCTGCCATACCTTTGCATTTACAGTCAGACTTCTATTGAAAGGGTTTTATTTGTGTTTTTTTTCAGTTGCCCCAAATAATTGAGACGCATGCCCTTCCTTATCAACTTTCTGTAAGCCATCAGTATGCATGGGATTGTATTGAACAGGCATATTAAAGCAAATCTGTGAACTAGTATAGTTGGAAACTTTACAATTTTTTGCCCAAACATTCATTATTTTTCGATCCTTAAAGGACAACTATAGTGCCAGGAAAACAAACTTGTGGCGAGGAAGGGGTTAATCCCTTACCACCCTCGGCACTGGGGGACTCTCCTCTCTCTTCTGATGTCATCAGCTGAATGCACATGCGCGGCAAGAGCCACACGCACATTCAGCCAGTCTCATGGAAAGCATTCTCAATGCTCTCCTATGGACGCTGGCGTCTTCTCACTGTGAAAATCACAGTGGGAAGCACCTCTAGTGGCTGTCAATGAGACAGTCACTAGAGGCTGGATTAACCCATTTATAAACATAGCAGTTTCTTTGAAACTGCTATGTTTACAGCAGAAAAGGTTAATCCTAGAGGGACCTGGCACCCAAACCACTTCATTGAGCTGAAGTGGTCTGGGTGCCTATAGTGGTCCTTTAAGTGTTTAGTGAATAAACACTAAACGATAGTCACGAACAGATTCCAAGTGAGCTAAAATGCACTCCTCTCATTGGGAATAAACTTTGCTCTTGAAAGTACTGTTGGTTACTATAATAAAGTAATTGTGGCAGACAACTTGTGTTCTAATGTGCAACTTTTTCTTTTTTTTTCTTTTTTTCTAGAAATATGCAGTCACACAACAGCGCAAAGCAGATCAGAAATTTGTGGACTCTCAGCTCCTGCCATTGGTCAAGAAAGAGCCCCAGCTGCGTGGATACCTGCATTCAGTATTTTTCTTGTCAAATGGAATGTACCCTCACAAACTGGTCTTCTAATAAGATTCACAAAGACCTATTAAAATATTGTAAAACTGTAGTTGTATGGTGTTGTCGTTTACTTTAATAGAGAAGACCTAATAGAGAAGACCTTATTTTCAAGGGCAATCTACTTATGATTGTGTATAATACATATTAATAGAAAGCTCGCATCCAACTTGTATATTTGGAATGTGTAATACGTGGACTTTTCCTCAATTGTATTAACATTTGTTCAAACGTGCTAACTCAATGTACAGTATCCTATTGATGGGATAAAAAGCTGATTTTGCATGTACTCTGTATGGGTGAAAGGGTTGATGTTCTAGAACATGTGGGGACCTAACAAAGCATGTACTTTCAACAAATGAAAGTTAAGTAGACAATGAAAATGGAGTGCAGAGTAAAATTTGTAACCATACACTTTATAGATTTTTGAGCTCCTAGAGATGGATCTAGATATACATCTATTTTTTGGGGAGGAGACATTGCTTGTTAACCACTATCACAACCCTGTTTTGATTGAAAGACTGCCCTGCAGCCGATGTGACAGTAAAATCTTGCAAATGGCTAGTAATGAGACTGAATGGGGCACTACATGTACTAAACGTTTTGTTTGGGTGGAGAAAGCACGCTGAACAATGATTTTAATATTTTTAAACCGCACATCATGATATTGTCAATATTAAAATTTGAATCAATGCATCTGAGGAACTTTCCGTCTGTATGCCGAGCATTGTGCAGCACTGACCCAAGAAGCACATTTAGTGGCTGTCAAGGCCACTAGTCCTAGGCAGCAATCTAAACGCTGCCTTTTCTCAAAAAAGGCACTTTATTAACCCTTCCTGGTCAGGCAGTAGACATCAGAACAGTGAAGTTAAAGAAACACTAGTGTTAAAACAAACTGTTTAGGTCCCCCACCCCTCTTAGATTGCAGCTAAAGGGTCTTTACTCACCTCTCTAGCTTGGCTCTGCCACAATGAATATCAATTTCAATGACCTCAAATGCTTGCTTTAGCAAAATGCTGCACCAATCTGCATCTCCTCATGGAGATGCATTGAATCAATGAAGCCGCAGGAACTGCAGTAGACTAGGAAGCACCTCTAGTTGCCATCTGAGGGATTGCTGTTAGAGGTGTTACTAGGCAGCAATGTAAGCACTGCAATTTATTTATTTTCCCCAAACATAGACTCAATTTTGTCTCATCTTTTGACGGGGTTGGAATTTCTGTGAAATTCCAACACAGTATGAATATATTAACGATTTTATCTTTATGAAATACTCATTTTGCAAGGGTACTGTCAATTGTGTTAAAATGCCGACTGTCTATATAACATGGAGGACTAATCTTTATCTGGTTCACCCAACCAATGGATGTGGTTGACTGGAATTATATTCTACATAAAGTAGTTGCTGTACTTTCACAGAGGGTTATTTATCAGACTGTGTAACATTTTAATCTACAACCAAACCAATCTGCGTGTTATTTACCTGTGGCATGGGTAGAAATTGATTTGTTCAAACAAGCGAAAACATTTTTGCACAATCCTAGTATTTTCTGATATTTATTTTAAAATATAAAAGCTGCAGGGGCAAGGTCTTTGCACAAAAACCACATGTGCAAGTGTCCACCCAGCTGCCCTACTTTGTTGCTCTGATCCCACATGGTTTAGTGATGTCAGGGCCGGAGTGACGTAATATTTTGGCTACCAGCATCCCTGGAGGGGCCGTGATTGAGCAGAGCTGGAAGATTACAGCTCCATCTCCGCCTCTGCACTACTTTGCTTGATCAGGTGGCTACCTTTTGGGGGCTGTAAGGGCTGACAAAATTCCTAGTCGCGAGGGTGACCTGGTTTCAGGAATTTGTTGAGTTCTGTATTTAACACTTTGGATAATTGTGGTGGTCCCCACCAACCTTGCCTTGACTCATCCTCTAGGGTTCCAAACAAAACCTGGTTATATACATGAACCTCCATATGAGAGTAATATATAATCCTTATTCGTTACAGGTTCCATTTTTTATATCTTTGGATCTACTTTATAGCTATAAGTTTTCTGCTGATCTTGATTTATAATACATTTACTCCTACCCATGTGGTGAATTTATTTCTTAATGCAAATATTAAAGGAGTACGGTAGGGTCAGAAACACAAACATGTATTCCTGACCCTATAGGGTTAAAACCACCATCTGGCCCCCTCATGCCTCCCTAAAAATAGTAAAACTCGCTTGTATTCAAGTCGATAGATACATATTTTGTTCCTGTTTCCTTTAGATCTGCCTGCTGACCTCAGCAGAAGTGGTAGCCTAATCCAATCACAATGCTTCCCCATAGGATTGGCTGAGACTGACAAACAGGCAGATCAGGGGAAGAGCCAGCATGATTCAAACACAGCCCTGGCCAATCAGCATCTCATATGTGAATTGAATCAATGAATCTCTAAGAGGAAAGTTCAGTGTCTGTATGCAGAGGGAGGAGATACTGAATGTTTGGATGCATTTTAGGCAGCCATGACCCTGGAAAGGATCAGCTATCTGAGGAGTGGCCAGTGAAGTTATCACTAGCCTGTAATGTAAACACTGCATTTTCTCTGAAAAGACCATGTTTACAGCAAAAAGCCTGAAAGTAATGATTCTACTCACCAGAACAAATGCAATAAGCTGTAGTTGTTCTGTTGACTATAGTGTTCCTTTACGTCTTACAGTAATAGAATAGTTCTTGTCAGCCTTACTGATCAAATATTACTCATCTGTGGAAAAAAAAGCAGGTGTAATATTTCAAAGTGATAATGTTACAACTCTTGTTTTTATATCCTAAATTGCGAAATTTACATCATAGAGTGCCGCGATCGCATTAGGACTACCCCACTTTCTTGTGGGGTTTTAACTGACAATGGATGTCCTAATGAATCTTGGTGAATTTACATATATTGTTTGTCACCTTGGCATAGGTACTAAATTGCTCCTAAATTTAGTGTTTCTACTGGGGTATTGAGCTCTTATTAATATTATGTTATTTATATAGCGCCAAACAATTCCACAGCGCTTTACAGTGGGTGGACGAACAAACATAGTTGTTTCAGTAATCCTTGACAAGGTATATGTGAAGAGAACCAGAGAAGAAATAATAGTGTAGTATTTAAAACTGTAGTGGTAATAAGTAAAATAAAAGATGTGCACTCACACTTTCTTGGAGCTTCAATACAGCTCCAGTGTATGCACCTGGGCGGAATAATCCCCGCCTATGGATCAAGTGCAGAGGCAATTCTTCGAGTTATAGGTGTGTGTCATGCGGTATCTCTTCTGGGTTCGGCACTTCCGCATTGCGGAGCCGGCCCCGCCCCCTTCTGACACGGCTCTGACAGTATTTAGGGAGTCCGCGCCAGGGAGAAGGCGCTTGGTGATTGTTGGACCTACTTCCAGGTATACACGCCGGCTCCACAAGCTCTGACAAGCCGTCCCAGCCTTTGAGCCAATGCAAGGATTGCTGCAAGCCATAGAGGATTACTGGAGAACGGATACTTCAGAAACCCAATGGAATGATATAGCTCTACATAATCAGTTCCGTTTAGGATTATCTGAAACAGTTAAAGATGAACTATCTAGAACCACTCTTCCCCCAACGCTTGATACATTAATTCAACTCTCTATTAGTATAGATAGAAGAATCAGAGAACATAAAGCTGAAAAGTCTCTCTCTAATTCATTTTGGAAAAAACCCAGTCCACCTTTGCTAATGCCTAACAAACCCTTGCATCCCAGTGAACCTATGGAAGTTGGGTTTACTAGGGGACCTTTGTCTATGGCAGAAAAAACAAGGAGGAGAGACTTAAATCTTTGTATGTACTGTGCCTCTAAAGAACAAATCCCTTACAAGAATGTCTTCTTCTAAAACGCTCTAAAGGAGGTAAGCCTAAATTTAATACCTCAATTCTAAAAACACTACCCTCTTCCTCCTCTCATCAGTTTGCTGTACCTCTAATTTTACAGTGGGACAAAGAAAGAATCAAGACTGAGGCCATTATTGATTCTGGTGCTACGGGGATATTTATAGATTCTTCGTTTGTTGAAGCCAATAAAATTCCTTGTCTGAAAAAAGCATCTTTTGTCTCCATCAGAGTTATTGATGGATCTTTAATCCCCTCTGGTCCCATAAAAAATTCCTATTTTGACCACTATCAATAATAACCATTCAGAATTTCTTGTTTTCGATATGATAAAATCCCCCCTTTTTCCAATCATCTTAGGAATCAACTGGTTACAAATTCATAATCCCTTCATTCGTTGGGCTCCCTTTTCTCTCACCTTTGACTCAGAGTATTTTAAGGACAATTGTCTCCCTCAAATTCCTATATTTCAATTAAGTCACGAAACTCTAATACCAGAACCATATTCAGATTTTTCTGATGTATTTGGTAACAAAAAAGTTGATGCTCTTTCCAAAATTCCTGTTAATCCTTCTTCAAAAGAGAGAACTTTCTCAATGTTATCAAACAATAAAATAATTGGACTTACAACTACTATATTGGAGGAACTGAAACAATTATCTCTCAAAGAACTTGAACTACCTTCTACTCCTAAATTGTTCAAAAAAGATGGAATCTTTTATTTCAAAAATATAATTTATATTCCTCCAAAACTCCGACATAACCTTTTAAAATTAATTCATGATTCTTCCCTTGCTGGACATCCTGGGATAAAAAAGACAATTGAACTCTCTACTAGACAATATTGGTGGCCTCGTCAAGACAAAACCATTGAAACTTATGTAAAGTCTTGTCCAGGTTGTCAAAGGTCCAAAGCGGAACGTCACCTTCTTTATGGATTATTGACAGGATTACCAGTACCTGGGAGACCTTGGCAATCTATTTCCATGGATTTTATGGTGGAACTCCCTCCTTCTCAGAAATACACCACCATCCTTGTTGTAGTAGACCGTTTCACAAAAATGTCATATTTCATTCCTTTGAAAAAGTTACCCTCATCCTCTGAACTTTCCAACAGTTTTATTGACAATATAATCAAATTACATGGATTCCCTGAAATAATCTCAGACAGAGGTTCTCAGTTTACTGCACATTTTTGGAAGGAAATATGTTCTTCAAATCCAACGTAAACTTTCTACAGCATACCATCTGCAAAACAGAATGAGTCAATCAATGTCTGGAACAATACCTTCGTTGTTACTGTACATATTTACAAGATGATTGGAGTAATTGGTTACCCATGGCTGAATTTGCCTATAATAATTCCATACATTCAAGCAGCAAAATGACTCCATTCTTTTCAAATTATGGATTCCATCCCTCTTTGTTTCCTGATGATCCCAAGACAACTTCGAATCCAATGCTTTCTATTCAAAATATGGAAATGTCCTCATTGTTTAATCAATTAAAGAAAAACCTTGAAAGTTCTATGATCTTACATAAACGGAATTATGACATTAAAAGGAGAGCTCCTCCTAAATATAAAATTGGTGACACTGTTTGGTTATCTTCAAAAAATATTTCTACTAACCGTCCTTCTAAGAAACTTGGTCCTCTTTTCCTTGGACCCTTTCAAATTGAATCCATTATTAATGAAAATGCTGTGAAATTGAAACTTCCTCCTTCACTTAAACTTCATCCTGTTTTTCATGTTTCCCTTCTCAAGTCTTTTCTCCCAGATCCCTTCCATAGGTAACAATTGTCAAAGCCTGACCCCATTGAAGTTCAAGGTGAATTGGAATATGAAATAGAGAGAATTCTTGACTCCAGACTTCATAGAGGTAACTTACAATACCTTATTAGATCCATCATCCTCTTTATGCATGTTGTCTTACTCCAA